ATTAGATTGTTGCCTGCTCGATATCGGATTTTACATTTTCGATGGAAGATTCCATACCTCTCGTCATTTCTACTCTCCTGATACACGAATCTCGATTTTTGCCTGTCCGAAACCCGGATTTGCATTTTCGACAGACGATTCAATACATCTTCTCATTTCTGCTCTCCTGATACATGAAATTAGATTGTTGCCTGCTCGATATCGGATTTTACATTTTCGATGGAAGATTCCATACCTCTCGTCATTTCTGCTCTCCTGATACACGAATCTCGATTTTTGCCTGTTTGAAACCCGGATTTGCATTTTCGACAGACGATTCAATACATCTTCTCATTTCTGCTCTCCTGATACATGAAATTAAGTTGTTGCCTGCTCGATATCGGATTTTGCATTTTCGATGGAAGATTCCATACCTCTCGTCATTTCTGCTCTCCTGATACACAAATCTCGATTTTTGGCCTTTTGAAACCTTTGCATTTTCTTCAGACGATTCAAATACCCCTCCTTATTTCTGCTCTAGTGATGGTACATGAAATTAGATTTTTTCGATAGACGATTCTTACCTCTTTTCATTTCTGCAGGAAATAATCTATTCTATGTATCAGGAGAGCAGAAATGAGAGGAGGAATTGAATCGTTTATCTAAAATGCGAAACCGGATTTCAAACCGGCAAAAATTAGATTCGACTCTCAGAAGAGCAGAAATGAGAAGAGGTAGTTTATCGAAAATGCAGATCCGACTTCCAAACAGGCAAAAATCGAGATTCGACTATCAGGAGAGCAGAAATGAAAAGAGGTATGGAGTTGTGGATCAAAGATGCAAATTCCATTTCGAAAAAATAGAAAGCCAGAGGTTAGTAGATCCGTAGAGCAGAAAATAAAAAGGGTCAGGAAAGGGTATTTTTCTTTATGAAAGATCAAAATATGGAGAATTATCTTGACATCGGTTATTAATCTGGAGTCTGGACTGAAATAAAAACAAAATATAAAATTTCAACATTTTTATTCGATTTCATAGTGTTTGGTGACATTTTTGGATATCCCGATTCCGGGTACTTGGTCCAGAACTAAAATACTAGCAATTTAGTAGTCCTCATGATTTATAGCCCAAATATTGATTGGAGTGCTGAATTAAATAATTCGAAGGGCTTGCGAAAAAGTTGATTTTTGGTTCTTAATAATAAACATGGTTAACCACTTTTTCAGATATTTCGAGGCGGCAGAATAGGCTGAACTTAGTTTTCGAAATATTCGCCATTTTCCTGTTTGAAAAAGTCACTGGTGAAGAAATTTATAATAAAACAAATATGAGAGGTAATTATATACAACATTTATCGAATATATTTTCTCTGCAATTATACATTTACTTGATACTGAAAGAACTGCATGATGTGCTAAATATTTAAAATTGTGGGCTGATGCAAATTATTATCACCATTTTTGTTTACTTCTTCCAAAGTGACAAATCTTGCAGATGTCCACAATGAAGTAAAAAATTATTCAAGCTCAAATTAGCAATATATTTCCATTTTTAGCAAAATACAATATCCCAGTCCATAATATGAACAAAAATCAATATATAAATGGATTATTTGATAATTCAGAAGTTACAACAAATGTATTGAATATAAAAATAAATTAGAACCTTTATGAATGTACACATTATTTTGATATAAATGGAATGATATATGTTTAAGTTTAAGAAACTAATAATATTCATATCCAGTCAACTTCAAGCCATATTACTACACTATTAATAACCAATATTTTAGAGGCATTCTTAGTAGGCAATCCTAGCTTGCAAATGTGGATTATATATTGATCTTGAAAATATCCATCCAAATTCATAATCATATTTCATTTACACGTTTTATACAATAATAATTTTTGCACAGCCTGTATTTTACTATCAGAATCTTATTCTGGTAGAATCATTAAAATCACAATTTGATCCAGATGGGTCAGCATCATGAATACATATAGGTAATACAGGGTGGGGTGATTTGTTAGGTCGTTTTAAGAAGAAAAGTTCCTATGAACGATGTTGCTTCGTTTCTGAGATACAGGGCGTTGAAATTGAAGAAAAAAAAACGGTAATTATAAAATATCATGAATATCCTAGAACCGAATTGATTGCAATTTGGTACTTTCATTTGAACTAATAAGGCGCTTATTTAGCCCTATTTAGATTGAAATTATTGGGGCTAGTGGTGTCTCAGTGGGCACCCCAGCCAACAATATTGTGAAAAAAAGTACGCCACTGACTTTTTTTGGTGAATTTTTATTTTTTTTTAGATTGAGCAACTCAAAATACAACTTTTTGGTCCTTTGCATTTTCTTCATATCCAGCTTCGTTCTCGAGAAAAAAAATCAAAGCCACTGTATTGCATATCATAAACACCTGCATTGGAGAAATGAGTTTTTCATTATTTCCGCCAAAAATTTTATTGACACTTGTTAATAGGAACCTTTCTTCCTAAAATGAGCTAACGAATCACAACCTGCAGTTAGGAACCGTAGTTAGGAAACACCCTGTATAATGTTTGAACATACTTCCCATAATGCTTGGAACTACTTCACAAAAAATATTCAGATGGCCCATAACTTTTTTGATTTCATCATAATATAATGACAATAATCTCATACAAAAATTGCATATGAAAATATTCATCTAAAACCTATAATATCTTTTGATGAATAACATAATTAGATAATTAACAAATGAGCAGGGTAGATTAATGTGGAGTTATATAACAATGAACGAAATTTACCGATTATTAATTAACTAATTAGGCACTTCCTATAGGGTTGAGAGAATCTAAACAATTTAAGCATTATGCCGGGTGATTATCCAAGGTGGCCCACCACTATCACTTTTTCATTATTGAATGTCGTAAAACAAAATTTGGGGGTTGTGAATTTAAGTTCTATTGACATTTTATGGGATATCTTTTTGATTTACCGTACTCCCGGATTGATCGCAAATGACTCCAACTTTCGATTTCTAAATGGAACACCCTGTATTTCATTCCATAATTGGTTAGGGATTATCAAGAAAAATTCAAGGATGCCGGGTTTTATAGGGTTATTTCAAACGATTAGGAAGATATTTGCATTCGAAATGTCTCTATGTTCAATGAGTGTGATAGAGTTTTGATAATGCGCCGTCACACCCAAATGGAAACTTGAATTTTCTGGAAATTTTAGAAATCAACTCTTCCTTTAATAATAATTCTGTCTTGTCAGTTAATGAACAAACACATTTTGACTGTATTAAATTTTTCAATGCTTTGGATTTTAATCGTTGTTAGTTTACCTACCTTGGTCTCAACTCTTATTCCATGGTATTTCATAGTCAGTGGTTTTTCAGGTTTGCTCAACTCTCCCCTACATGCATCCCTCCTCCTACCTCCACATTCTTCAGGTAGTTGTTTTGGCTATTGTTATATGCCTATGCTCATGGTCGGAATTTCATGACATTGACTTTGACTTATGTCAACGTCTTGCCTACGTCATTATTTGACATTATTTTCAGTGTTTTCTAACCAAATTAGTTCAGATTTAAACACGTGCTGGCTGTTTGCCCCATCAATTTTATTGATAAATATCGTACCAGTATATCACCTGACGAAGCTACTGTGTTAGCGAAACATGTCGTGTGTTTGAGAATTTTATGTAAATCTTATCGTTTGTGAAGTTTTTACATTTGCCAAGGATTTCCAACAAGTAACGGCCGAGTCAATTCAAAATTTTATTGATATTATCCTTAAGTAGCGCTTTCATAAGGGCACGGAGAACCCCTTTTTTTAAAAACCCGTTAATTTATGGTGTTGTCAAAACAAACCTTTTGGCAATACCCTTCATATACCATTTTGGTATATAAAATTTCAATGAAAATAATGGTATGCACTCTCAGGGCACGGGGCCCTTCATTTATTGAGAACTCGTTTTTTCATTTATAATTTGATTTCTCCCTAAGGGCATTGACAACAATTCCATCCAGCATCAAAAATCATTTCGACTCCAAGTAAGTTAGGCTGAAGATGGAATTTTATAAGACCGAAACATGTCCCTTATGATTATGTAACAACACCATTGTGGAGATGACTCCGAGCATTCCTTCCTTCAATGATGGAAGTAAGATATGGTGCGCGCATTCGACCATTATTACGTATTGAAAATTTCAGAAAAATCACTCGACCGGCCTACTGTGATTTCTCTACGTCACAACGAGCGAGACGTTGATTCTACATTTTTCCGCTAGATGGTGATGCTGCTATTGCTGCTGTGATGAGTGGAAATGAAATGGCAAATGGCATTTTAGGTACGCGGAACATATGTAACAGTGGGATTATTCAACTCTGAATTCGAAAAATCTGCGACAATTTCAAAACTGACAGAAGTCATGATTGTGCAATGTCGCCATCTATTAGAAGATCAACGGAACCATTGCTCTCGCTGCTCTCGAGAGGTCGAGTAAAATTTCTGAAACAAAAGCGCATCAGTAATTACACCATATCTTACTTCCATCATTCTTCCTTCCTTTGAAATATTTCACTCCACTTTGAGCAATATGGACTTCTACCAAAGATATGGAAACTTCCAATGCAAATATAGTCGAAATCGTTTGAAATAGCCATATAAAACAGTTAGGTCTCATTTAAAAATCGGAAGTTAGGGTCATTTCCGGTCAAACCGGAAGTACGGCAAATCAAGTAGATATACAGTGTGACCCACTTCTACAGGAAACACCTCTGTGATAGGATCCTGAAATTTGCTGGAGCGAGAGATATACCAAACATGCACTCTATGACCAAGTGGGGTCATCTTCAGTGATATACACTGCTCGCCAACAGCCATGGAACTATCCCAATTTCCGGAAAATGATATTAGGAGACAAAATGGGTCGAGAATCACTTCAGATTCGGAATCAGGACGCCGAATTTACTGACTATTCATATTTTAACTGGAAAATTTTCAGTTCTGAAAAATTAAATTTTGTCGCACTTTTTACGGAAGCACCCCCGTATCTTTCGTAATTGACTTCATCTTTGTGCTTTCCCTTCCTCCTGCAAATTTCAGAATCCTACCTCAATAATTACGTGAGATACAGGGCTGCTTCCATGAGAAGTGAGACAAAATTTCATTTTTCTGCACTGAAATTTTTTTAGGAAAACTATGAATAGTCAGTGAATTGGGCGTCCTGATTCCGAATCCGAAGTGATTTTCAACCTATTTTGACTTCTAATATCATTTTCTGGAAATTGGGTTGGTTCCATGGCTGTTGGCGAGCAGTGTATATCACTGAAGATGGCCCCGCTTGGTCATAGAGTGCATTTTTGGTATATCTCTCGCTCCCAGCAAATTTCAGGATCCTTACCCAACGATTACATAAGATACAGGGGTGTTTCCATTAATGTCAAAAAATGTCAATTCAACTATAATTGACAACCCCCAAATTTCGTTCAATTACCTTCAATAATAAAAAAGTTAAAGGGGTGAGCCACCTTGGAAAATCACCCTGTATATAAAATAATACCCTTGCTTTGGAATGGAGCCTTGAAATATCACATAACTTCAGGATCGGCGAATGTAGAAGAACCCGGCAGCTGAAGCTCTAACTCCAAACGTCTCATTGACAACTGTAGAATATCTGGTTACCACATCATCATTGAACAACACCCAGTCATTGGTCTTTGCATCCAGGAGCACAGTGGCGAAATAATGGCCATGACTAGTATTTCCTGAATGCTGGACCACCCCACAGCAATCATAGACAGACTTGCCGAACTTTAGGCCCTTCAGAGGGAAATCGATTTCATTGTCATTTTTGCGCGATGTCCCATCAGCATTGATCAAGTATCTGCAATGAAGGCATATAAACAGGACATTGTTTTATTAGGATCAAATGTCAAACACAGTCACTTTTGATACAAATGAAACATGCTATGCAATCGAAATTATTGATATCTTATTGATAAAATTTAAGTGGAGTTACCACCAATTTGACTCATTTGAGCATGTCAGTGTCAAAGCAGCTATCATATCAGCTGTAATCCGGCACTTTGAGTACCTAGGAGTAGAACTTCAACCTTAGCTCCTAGGCACTTAGTATGTATGTTGCTAGGCACTATGTTGCCTAGCAACATACATACTAATCATTTTATTGTGTTAGTAACAGAAACGTCAACTTCGAGAGCTAATTTTGGAACAAGAATGGACGACTTATGAGTCGATCGCAGAAAAAATGTTTTTTTTTTCGTATATTCCCTATTGCTTATCTCAAGCTATTTTCTGTGAGATAAGAAAAAAACAGGGGGAAAATTGATTGATTTTAAACTGTTTTACCACTAATCAAACCGATGTTTCAAACGCCTCGACACGTGTTTCGCCAACAATGTTAAAACTAACTTTTGATCTTCTCCTGAAGATGCTAACATAGTTAGTGGAACACGTGTGGAGGCGTTGAAAAAATAGGTTTGGTTAGTGGTAAAACAGAGAAGAAAATGCTAAAATTTCGATATTATCAGGGTTAGCTAGTATTGAACCATAGATAAAAGAAAAACTGCCGCTTTCTTGGCTTTTCGGCACGGTTATATTAGCTTTGTATGTATGTTTGCATCTAACGGAATCATCGAACGTGATTTTGACCCACTTGAAAATATCCGATTGATTTGGAATTTGGCAAGTGTACATAATTCTGGTGACAATGCATGATGAAATTTAAAAAAAAAAACAGTATGGCAGCTCCAAAATGGCGGACAAGTTTTGTAATCATGATTCGATTCTATTCAAAATTGGTGTCTGGGAGTTTTCAGGGTCAGAGATTATGATTCTTTCGTCAAAATTAGGAATTTCAAGATGGCTGATTCGATATAGCGGACGAGTGTTTTAATCATGATCCGATTTAATTTAATATTGGTATCTGGGGTTTTTGGGGCCGGAGATTATTTCGTCAAAATTGAGGAATTCAAATAGACGGATCCAATATGGCGAACGAGCTTTGTAATAAATAGTGGTTTGAAGAACTAAAAAACACGCATTTGGTAGATGGCTATACTCAAAAGAAGTATAGTAGTATAAAATAGTAGTTTAAATAACTAAAGACGCTTTTAAATATGACCGAAAAGTTAGTAAAAATAAAATAGTTAAATCGGATGAATTGGTTTGTCGTCGTTTGTAACTTGTCCGCATCCTGTAATTCTTTCTTGACTTCAATTAAAATCAAAGTATAGATGTTTCATGGAAATAATTTTGCGCACATTTTCAAATAGGTACCTCTTCATCATTGAATTAGTGCAAAACACTCAACAAAATTATGAATTCTGGGGAGTAATCTCCTTTATTTTCTTGAAACCTCCAACTTTCCATCACTACTTGATGATGATGATTAGATGCCACTCAATTTTGATTTAGAACTATATGCATATTCATTGTTTCCGCCATTTTCAATAGAATTTTTGCACTGAGCTCTAAACTATGTGAACCAGTTATCCGATGGAATTCAAAACCCGACCCCACTTACCAATGGAATACAAAATATACATTCAGTGCGAGATAGTTTTACCGTTGGAATTCGTTATAATTTTATCGCTAAAATGAACCGAAAACCGTTAGATTTGTTCCAAAAAAACTCACCTCTTCAAGATGATAACAAGCACCTCAGGATCAACAACGATCTCCTTCCTATTGAGAATGGAGGAAGTGGATTTGCAATCAGAGCAAGAATAATCCTGAACCCGATTGTCTTTCATATACTCTTCGATCATCGGTTGAAGGGAGCACGCGGCGTTATCCATAGCCAACATAAGAGTGCTGTCAGTGTCGAAGGACAAGTAAGTTCTTCGGCAATAATAGCAAGTCTTGGTGTTCTTCAGCTGGTAGTAAAAGGCGTCTATTAGGAACGAGCTGCGCCCTTGGAGGTGCCCGAACCAGGCTTTCTGGCTCTCGGTCATGACGGGCGGAGGAGACAAGTCGAATGAACAGTCGTCGCTGATCAAGTTGAAAAGGAAAATAAAGAACTCGAACGCGTCCTCGTGGTTGCCTCTGTCGAAGTTCGGGGCCGTTTCGCACAGCTTTCTTTTGAAAGGCTCGATGAAGTAGTGTTTGGGGTTGTCTGGAGTTCCACCCCATAATTCTCTCATGACCTGGGATAACAGGATGATTTTCTTATTTCTTGAAAAACCCCATTCACAACCAAGGGGCTATTGCAATTTTTATTTCATCAATCGAATTATGAATGTATCAGAATATTGAAAATTTGTTAGTTTCATACTTTCTGGTCTACCTAACAAGAGCAGAGGCTTGAAATGATGTTGAGTCAACCAAAAATCATAGGGGATCTGTGTGTCAGAGATGTCTTTCTGCATCATGAATATGATTGTTTTTCGGTGAGTGGAATATTTCCAATTAATTCTAGATAATGGGCTTATATCACAAAAAACTTGTATTTCATAATTCGATAGAACTCACCCAAACTAGCACACCACCGCAAACCGTTTCTTGCTCTGAGCTCCCTACATTTTATGAAAAATTATTGAAATCCCCGATTTTTCGGACCACTGAAAACGAGGCGATGATGTGACGTCAAAACCCTAATACTGAAACAAGACTATTCCAGACAGAGATGAATGATACATGATTTTTGACAGAGTGAATTAGCGCGAGATCACAGTTGAAAGAATTAATATATCAGTTGCCTCAGTCTCCGTCGGGCGTTTGGTATTTTCTTTTAACTATGGCGAGATGAGGTTTCTACGTCATAAGAGGCTCCGTTTTCAGAAGGAACTATTATTCATGTCCAAAAATAAAACATTCCAGTTAATTTTTCGATCGAATTATGTCGTCAATCATTATAAACATGGTTTGAGTTAAAAGTTTTACTAAGGTGTACACGCCCATTATAAATTGATGACTATTTTTCAATAAATGTTCCAGATAATATTTCTCAGAGTTAAATATATTATTTTTCGATACATAACAGATATAATCCAATATTTTGTGGTATTAACCAGGAGAGTAGTTGTTTTCTGTTAGGTACCTATTCAAACAAGTTATTGTAAATTTTTTTTTAAATTAGGTATTTCCAATATTTGACAGATATAATTCGTTATTATATGGTATTAGCCAGAAAAGTTGCTGTTTTCTGTTAGCTATTTTAACAATGATCTGACAACATAATAAAGATAAAATTTGGGCTACTTCAGCATAATGGGTTAGTGGACTGATATTTCAATTTTTTATTCCTAATCTTCACCCTCGTGCATACAATTTCATCATTTTTCAAAAATTTTCTGGATGGTTTTAAGGTATCAAAATCACCAATGAAGTCACAATAACTACTGTTGTCAGGACTCAGCGAGTGAATCACATAGTTGCCAGATGTCAAAGTAGATCTGGAAATAGCATAAATTATCTGGCTATGAACACTAAGTTGTTTTATGAATTCGAATGTCTACCAGAAACCTCAATGATTTCCAACATACCGGGTGGCTACGGAAGTATTGCCTACGGAATATCTCAGTTATTGTATAAAGTAAGTTTGCGAAATTTGGAGCGTCGATATAATAACATAAGAGCTGGAATTTGAGCATATTGACATGTCGAAGTTAACTTCCGGTCTGACCGGAAGTATCATCAACTTTCTTATTTTAAATGGAAACCCTATTTTTTTTTCTTTTCGCTTTATTCAGCATTCAATTCCCTTTCTGATGACATATCACAAGTTGGTATCTAACCAGAAACTAGATCAGAAAAAAATTATTATTGAAAATCACCGAGTAGGCCGTGGAAGCAAAATGAAAGCCAAAAATTGAAAAGTTGGCTATGGAAATCATACGTCACTTGATATCAGTTGCTACTACTGTGTTATTTTATTTTCATTCGTCGGCGTTATAAAAAGCCGCATAAAAAAATATTGTAAAAATTGGGGAAAAAACAATACTCTGTAGGTCCATAACTTAAATAGGAACATACAACTTTTTCTTGCCTTTACTATTCAGCATAACCATTCCTTTCTAATGATATAATAGAAACTCATTTTTTTGGCTTTCATTTTGCTTCCACGGCCTACTCAGTGAATTTCAATAATAATTTTTTTCTGATCTAGTTTCTGGTTAGATACCAACTTGTGATATGTCATCAGAAAGGGAATTGAATGCTGAATAAAGCGAAAAGAAAAAATAATAGGGTTTCCATTCAAAATAAGAAAGTTGATACTACTTCCGGTCAGACCGGAAGTTAACTTCGACATGTCAATATGCTCAAATTCTAGCTCTTATGTCATTATATCGATGCTCCAAATTGCACAAACCTACTTCATACAATAACTGAGATATTCCGTAGGCAATACTTCCGTAGCCACCCGGTATGTGAGCGGCAATTGTCAAAATGTGTCTGGAATATTAATAAAAAATTGCATGTTACAAAAATGAATGTTAATACTTATAACTTTGTTGCCAATCAGAATTGTTCAATGAAATTTTGCGATTGACCTAATTAAAGGATACTGAATCCAGTAGTGGTGTCGAATTTTCTTGAAAAAAATCAATTTTCAATATAAAATATACCTATGCCCTGAAAGTGTCATTCAAACTGTCTCATTGTACCAATGAAAACTCACCTGAGCCATTTGAGGGTTTATCCTTGGAGGCTTCAGCGTTGTAGAATAAGCGTAACGATCGCTCGTCACAAAAGCCCCTTTAATAACTGGTACAACTTTCATGCATTGCAATATAGAGTTCATGTAGCATATATTTTTCACATTCCTCAGCCCACAGTATCCTTCACCATATGTCTGGAAGCAAAATACAGTTAGCCAATATTTCACTTACAATTATTAAGTTTTTGTGTTTACTTTTCTATTATCTGGGATGATTGGCTTGAATGAGCGATCTATACTAGGAGCACTAGGAATTTTGGACCTGAGCTTCCTTATGGTCACTGTACTTTTACTGTCATCTCTATTTCCTTTTTGCAACTGTCTCTTATCATCAGCTGCTCCAGATGCCTTTGGTTTAGCAGCTTGCCTAGCTTGACGCAATAAATCAGCTCTTTTGCCGGCGACCATATCTCTAATCTCAGCTACACTGCCATCTTCAGAGCTACTGTCGCTAGGGATTTCATAGTCCACTCCTGGTTCCACATAGAGTATGGGCTCGATTTCACTAGGGCCATTGGTAAACAAGGACTCCTGAGAAGGGCTTTTGTAGGGTTCAGCTAGATTTTCGCGTATTTCGGGACCAAAGTCATTATTGTTTTCGGTTGAGCTCAGTGCATGCAGTTTCAGGTTCATTTGAAGGCCACTACCGGCTTCAGGGTAGGATATGCTTTCCAAGTTGAGGAGTTCATCGATTTCAGAATTGGTTTGGGACAGGAAACAGTGCGAGTTGCCTACTTCTGTAGGGTACCATTCGATAAACTCTTTTATACCTCCTGATAAGACAAGTGGTTCTTGAGTATAAGTTCTATTGAAATCCCACTGGAATATGTACAGAAATGAAGAAATTGCTTCAAAATGACTCTTGTTTATAACAGGTGACGACGTATTATGTATACAAGAAATAGTTTCCAAAGTATCGAGGGTAGATTTGAACTTGACGGGATATTGGATGAGAAAATTTTGAATTACAATATTCAAAACACCTCCGAAAAGATTCCTACTTGGAAACTTCAGATGAAACACTTTGTATATTTGTACATTTTTGGGGATGACTGAGTATGATCACATAGTTTTTCCATCTTAAGTAACTTGAACGCACTCAAACTGATTTAGTGGACATTCATTATTATTCCAAAGTTAAGATACATTTTTGAAATTTTTAGTCTCAACAACCCCGCCAAATCCGAATTTGAAAACTATCTAGTCTCAAGAATATGTGAATATGTAATCACCACTTGTCACCTCTAATATACTCAAGGGCGGATATCCAGGAGGGTGTCATTAACCCCCCCCCCCGGGCGCAGATGGACCGATGATTTTTCTGTGTACTATCTGCTCAATTCACTGAATAGATGTAATATAAATGGATGGTGGCCATACTGATACCCTACACGTTGTTCACGGAAATCCAATGCTGAAATTAATAAATTGTTTTGCCTACAATTTTATTATACTTTGCTCTCATCCAATCATATATCAGCTATGGATTGACCCTTTGGGGAAATTCCTCCTACTCTGGAAAAGTGTTCAAGATTCAAAAGCAATCCATTAGAAAAATCTGTAGTGCGGGTTACAGAGATTCCTGCCGGCCATTATTTTGCCAACTCAATATCATGCCTTTACCAACTTTGTATATTTATCAGTCTCTGCTCATGATAATAAAAATAAACTCCTGACTAACTCAAATTACCATGACCATAACACACGCAATGAAAATTTGATCAGGTCTCGAAGATTTAAATACAACAAGTCATTCAAAAACTCAATGATTGTTGACCTTTACAATATACTTCCTGCAACACTAAAGCATGAAAATCAATCGACATTTAAAAACTCTGTCAAGTGATATTACAGGAAAAATGCTACTACATTATTGCTGAGTATATGGCTGACCCACCCAGGATGTGATTTGTAAAACTGAAACACATATATTTATGCTCAAATACGCATGTTATATGTCCCAATAATTATTGTGTCTACTATATGTGTATGGTATGTTCTAATGTACACATATTATTTTATTTTACTATCATTGTTATTTTATTTATTTCGTGAATATTGTACAGTACTTTTCGTATCTACTTGCTCTATCTATCTATAATTTGCTTCAAGTTTTTTGTTATTTTCGCACTGGTTAAAAAACCCGTGGATTAATCCCTGAGGTATTTTCTAGAAAAAATGTTCCTGTAAACATTGGTCGAAAAATGCTTTCTAAGGGAGCTCTTCTAATAGTACACCTTGAAAAGGTTTTTATCAATATTTCCGAAATGTTTTTTTGAATTGACTCGGCCGTTACTTGATGGAAATCCATGGCAAATGTGAAAACTTCACAAACGATAAAATTTCCACAAAATTCTCAATGAACTCTAGTTCATTGTACCAGTATATCACCTGACGAAGCTACTGTGTTAATGTCGTGTGTTTCAGAATTTTGTGGAAATCTTCGTTTGTGAAGTTTTTACATTTCCGAAATGATTTATTGAAAAATCATTAAATTTGATACTTCGCATAAACTTTCGATGCTGACTTGGAATTTGAGCTTAGAATTTCAATATCTCGTTCAGAGACATAGCATACTGGATGGGTTAGGGGTAGAACAATTCAATTTTTCATGGTATTTTTTCCATATTCTCATTTGAGATCATGATACCTGAAAGCTTTTCACAAGACTCAAGAGACTCGCAATTTTCTACATAGAAAATTGACATGAAAAATTGAATTGTTTTCACCCTCTGAATGAGATTTTTATATTCTGAGCTCGAATTCTGATTCAGCATTGAAAGTTCATGCGATATAACAAATTTCATGAATTTCTAATAAATGGATTCGGAAATATTGATGAAAAAGTCGTCTTCAGAATGCAGTATTTGAAGAGGCGTAGCTTCCTTAGGAAGCATTTTTCGAGAAATGTTTTACTTTAACCATAAAAGCACCTTAGGAATCACCCCAAGAATTTTTCAACAATGTTCAGGAAACACCGTGTATACAGGGTGTCCCTCCGGGAACCTCATCGATCAATATATAGAAAACCATAGGTGGGCCGAATTTGAAAATTTGGTAGTTCACTATTGTTGATAAGTGCTATCCGGCTAAAATATTTTGAAGATTGTGGCACTTCCGGTTGTACCGGAAGTGGACCCCAACTTCGTTATTTCAAATGGAACACCGTGTATTTTATTGCATTTTTAGATTCTTACTGAAGAGCTGATTTCATCAACGTATCATACTTGGGGTCTATCAGGAGTGATTACAGAGATATAGGGTGTTCAAAATCGAGATTTTTCAATTTTAAGATTTTTTTGTGTGGAAATTTATCGATCAAAACGGCTTACATGTCCCTATCTTAACTTTTGATACACTATCTACTGGAATTTAATTGGAAAAAATACAGGGTGCTTCAAGATTCACTGATTCAGAACTCTGATCACCCTGTATCTGATCTCACATTAATTATTAATCAAAAAATCTAATTTACAGGGTGATCCACGTTAGAGTAATGACGTCCGCGAACATTTTTTCAAATGGAAAACCCTATAAATTATTCAATTTTTGGATTCTCTATGGAAAGCTGTATCCAAAAATATTTCACTCATAGGGTTTGTATACAGTGCGTCCGTTGAATTCAATGGTCTCTCGTACAGTAGTATAAATATTCGTGAAAGTTGAAACGAAAAATTTTTGGAAAAGACGCCCGAGGGCGTCGAATTTTATTTCTATTAAGGCATTCTTCCAAATTTAATTGAAACATACAGAATGATTCCTGTATGAGAAATTATTCCTTAATTTTTTTACGAATTTATGTAAGAAGATATCCACTACATTATGAGAGTACTGAATTCAATGGACACACTGTATGTATACAAACCCTATGTGGGGGGATATACCCAAAGGTGGATCATCCTGTATATATTCAATTTTCCCTTATGAATGTAACAAAATAGGATCAAGAATCGACCTGTTTCAGGAGATTCCTAAGAGATGGATAGTTCAGCTGAAAATTAATTTATTCAAAACTTTACCAAAGTACTGTATAAATATTGTATATATTGTATATGTATAAATAATCCTGCCGTGAGGACTGAATCCGCCCTTGAGTATACTGGTATCTAAAAATATCTTCCTGCATAGATATAATTGTACACAGAAAGGAAAATGTTAATATTCAAACTCATGACATTTTCTGAGTTTATTTATCCTGTATATGTTTTGCTACCAAATAGATTTTTTAATCAAGGTCTCCATGATTTTTAATTCTTTATGTTTGTGTCATCTCATCTGTTTGAATTCATCAAAATAAACAGAGTGATTCAATAATTTATGGGCCATCTACTCCAATAAGTTGGTTTTCCATCATAACTTATTTTTGGGCTACAGCTCATTTTGCCCCATATAATGATTTTAATTCTATTTGGGATTCATTTGAAGTTTTCATGTTTAAGTTTCTTCAATTCCCAAGTATTGAAAATTTAGAAACATGAAATGGAAAAAAAAATGGGATGTTTTCTGTTGAAGTTTTTTTCTTTGAATGGACCACCCCATTTTTGATGATTATCTCAATCTTTTGAGTTATAATATATATATATAATAAATCATGTAAATATTCATCATCTTACAGAACCAATATACAAATAACAATAATATACATCAATCACTTTTGGAATATAAGAACTCAATGAAAATATTCTGTGATTAAATAAAATAATGAATAAATAATAATAAAATTCATTTGAATTTTCCATGGTTTAGTGTATTTCATGTATTTGGGAAAGCTAATTCCTTACAAATTTTTTTTATAAAAATGGAAGATCTTATTTCACTTTCCAACTCATAGATAATTGAAATTCATATATTTTTCTCAATGAACATTTCACTGTATTTCATTATGAACACATAAAAACCACACCAATTATAAAAATTTTTCAAGATGAGAAATTTTCAGTTCAATTCTCAAAATCTCTATAACATGAACATAGTGTTTCAGCATGTAAATTTGCTATCCCAGATATTTTCCACTGCTCATTTTACCTCAACAATGAAACTCCTGAGGCGTTCAAGCTTAGAACCACCAAAATTGTGCTTTTGTGTATAAGTGTCTAAGAGTACAATCATCTGAAAACTATCCCTCATTTCCCATATTTCCTGACCATCTGGCCCAAGTTTTTGTCCTAAGGTGTTAGCAGATAACCTGCAAATCAGATGAAATAATAATGTTTGATTTCAAATAATACTAGCCAATATTTACCCAGGGATGATAAAATCCCCTGGTATATTGATTATATGACCTTGTCCAAGGTGATTTTCTATCAGTATTCTGGTATCATTGAATTCACTAGGGGTGCGAATGTCTACTAATAATAAATTCTGTTTCTGCATGAGTGCTGTAAATAGATCTTTGGGTCCAATAAAAGTATCTGCAAGAACAATGTTAGAATGGAATTTCATGATGAATACATTTATTCTATTACCATATGTTTCACCTGCTGATGGGAGCTGTCTTTTAGAATCAGCTAGTATGGTAATTGGTGTGTTTCTGGGACCAGATGAGATTTTCAAGTTTGTCTTAGATTCAACTTGATCTTTGAGTGAAGGTGATCTGCTTGGAATAGCTGCTTTATCAGCCCCATCCCCAGATTTAGAATGCAGCTGCTGTAGAGCAAGAGCATGGTATCTATATAAAACATCAATAATGTGAGATGGAATGAAAGAGATTGATTCAAATCAAATATATACCATTACCTTTTTTCCAGATCAGATTTGAATTCTGAGATGAGTTGTGTTACTTTGTGGTAGTCATTTATGTAAAGAGATCTAGTGAAATTTTGATCATCAGAAATCTTGAACAAATGATCCAATAAATTAATATATCTTTTTCCAATGATATAACACTTTTCTTGGTCATTTTGTGATTGAAGTAATTCCGACATCATCTTGCGGGCAATATTCGTAAAACTGAAACAGTATGTACCATGGAAACACTTGATAATAGAACATTTCAAATCCTTACCGATTAACCTTCTTGAGATTTCTGATAGCATCATCTTTTTCAACAAGTGCATCTAGAGTTTTAATATCATGAGCTACATACAAAGGTACTAATTGCTTATTCATTTCGAAGATGCATCCACTACTATAGTCACCTCATATCTCTCTAGGCAATGAATCCATAGAATCTTGAACTAGCAGTCATAGAACATTTTCATACATAAAGGGAATGAGGCGACAAAGACTATGTACACATTTTCAGGATGCTAGTTTTTTTTTTTCACTATTATATGCAATCAATTCTGTTTAAAAATTATGGCTTTCTAAAAATCAAAATTCATAATTATCAACTTGAACATAACCTCATATTGTCAATTGTCATATTTATAAAAAACAACACACTGCCATGAGATCCGCAAGTCGGAAATATAATTCTGTTCCAGAATTCAAACAACCATGACTTTTGGTATAGATGGATTTTTAGACCAATTAGATCGATTCTATCCATGGCGGCCAATTCGAATCTGTACCCTTTTTCAACAATATACTATTGTATCATCTACATTATTGAATTGGCCAATCATTATTGGTATATTTACTTGGAGGAAAATGAAATAGTTTACGATGACCAGATTTTTCAACTACTTTCATAGGATGTATAGGGTCTTCAGAGGAAAAAGTTCGTTATTCGCGATAGAAAATAGCACGTTGCCCCACCTGACGCCAGCAACTTGAACACTTTTGAGCGGTTTGTTTTGATATGACCAATAAGCACAAACAAAAGTTAACCAATGAGAACAAAGTAAACATGCCGCTTTGACAGCTTTCAAGAACTCCGACAGGTGGCGTACGCTTATTTTCTATTGCGAATAACTATATTCCTTCAGCAAAAATAATGTAACTAAGGATTTTTCCAAATTTTATATTTCTTATGGAAGGCATATCACAGAAAAATTTTCGATAGTCACCTTTATGTCTCAATGGAGACACGACAGGTACCCTCACGAGCGGAGAGTATATTCAAAACACCAATGAATCTAGAAACACATTATTGAAGAAGTTTGAGGATGTGTTTTTATCTGCCTTATTGATTTAAAAATGGCGGGGTAGGTTTGAATCGCGAGTAGTATTCCAGGAATCAAAAGCGTTTCAATTTTATGTGTGCACATTATTTTTATTATAAGTAAATATACGAATTAACTCACATATTTGATGTGTTGTTTATGTTAATCATCTAACTTTATGTTCGTAGAAGCAAATAAATAAACTGCCAACTAGTTGACAGATAAACAAAGAAACTCAATATACACAAACAAAAATACGAAACTTCCAAGATTATCAACAATTCAATATCAGCTTCAGTTCAATGAAAACATTGGTTGAACAAGTTTTAGTTATTTCAATAAACTATGTGTTGGAAATACTTGGTTCCTCATTTCCATTCTTATTTTTCACTTCTAAACTAGCACGGTTTGCTTCTGCTCTTCTTTTAGCATTCTGAGCATCACTTCTTGCTCTCCCGCGAAGTACTACATTACCCTGTCGCGGAACTGGCTTTGACCCTATTTCTTCTTCACTTAATAAATCTTGCGGACTAGATGTGAGTAATTTTAATAACGGTTTCAGTTGCATCGAATTTCCATCACTATCATCGGACTGTTCGGTCGAAGAAACTATTAATTCTTGCACAAATCGACTGCGCTCCTGTCTAGTTTGTTCACTAGTAGTTTGGTGGAGTGATAACTCTTCTAGTAGTCCTGTAAAACGACACCATTGTGACTTTATGAGTAGATGTACGATTTGTTTAGGAAATACAAGAAGTTGGTAGGTATCAAACATGTCTTGATGAATATTATTATAGTCAAGTTCCACAAAACGGGGTTTGAGTCTGCAAAGAATGTCTAGATTACCAAAAGCAAGAACAGCTCGAAAATGAACAAGTTTTAAGGTGTCCCATTCCCTTTTTGTTGACTAGTTCATTTTGAGTTCCTTCTGATTGTTTTTGAATACTTCAAGACCAACAAAAGCTTTTAAAATGAAACACACTGAAGAATTTCTATAGCATCGATTTGTTTATCTAAATTTCCTATTACAGTATTCTGAAATAAGGAATAGGATCTGTCATAACACTTATTCAAATGGATTTTTTTAAAAGCCAGGACAGATGGCTCTACTCTCTGAGAAAAAATTCGTAGGAAAGTAAAAAACAGTCTTCGGAGATCATTGAGATGAATCATTGCTGTAGATAGACAAATTACATTTCACAATTTTTTCTTGAAATTTTTTGCTTTGGTCAGAAACAGTTGAATTTTTTTCATTTCAGCATTTCTTCTTCACAGTGCAGCACCATCTGTATCTTGACATCCAAAAACTAAAATCAGAAGTATATTGAAGATGATGGAAAGCCCTAATTTCGAGTGACAATGGAAAATGAAAAAACTCCACCGCCCCGTGTGAGAGTCGAACTCACAACCTCTGGGTTACATGCCCAACGCTCTGCCAATTGAGCCAACGGGTCGTCCGTCGATCAATCGGCAGGTAGGTCGAGTTCTCATCACACACCAAGCAGCAGAATCCTTCCAATTCCCGAAGTCACTCGAAATCATGCACTATACGAAGCATCGCTGGCAGGATGGTACTATACAGTCTCCATATATCCCCGTTCGTCCTCTGGCATTGTCTTTCCTTGTATACGGAAATGTCCGCAAGCAATCTATAAATAGGAGTGGGTGATAATTTTTGTCGGTTACTCGACCGAAAAGATACATATATAATGAAGTCGGTCGAGTAACCGACAAAAATTATCACCCACTCCTATTTATAGATTGCTTGCAAGGAAAGACAATGCCAGAGGACGAACGGGGATATATGGAGACTGTATAGTACCATCCTGCCAGCGATGCTTCGTATAGTGCATGATTTCGAGTGACTTCGGGAATTGGAAGGATTCTGCCGCTTGGTGTGTGATGAGAACTCGACATCCCTGCCGATTGATCGACGGACGACCCGTTGGCTCAATTGGCAGAGCGTTGGGCATGTAACCCAGAGGTTGTGAGTTCGACTCTCACACGGGGCGGTGGAGTTTTTTCATTTTCCATTGTCACTCGAAATTAGGGCTTTCCATCATCTTCATTATATATGTATCTTTTCGGTCGAGTAACCGACAAAAATTATCACCCACTCCTATTTATAAAATCAAAAGTTACGAATCAGATACATTCCGGCACCTGCAGGCGCCTATTAGGCAGACAAGAGAATTTTCCATGAATGACGTGACAGATGAGTAGTCATTGTAGATGATTTAGAAATCATAACTCTTCTTTAAACTGAAAACTATGGTGCTCTATTGGTCCTGATGTGCATGGGAGATAACATACTCTGCCTCCAACATAAGGCAATTTGCTAGAATTATAGGATGTTTTCAAATATGAAAATATACAGGGAGTTCTCGAAGGCAAGGCAGTTTTTTAGGATGAAGAATTCATTGAAATTGACAGATCTACCAAATATCGCCCTAATAAAAGTTGCATAATAACAGATATTATCAAAGTGAACATTTCATTAATTTTAATAGTATTTTATGCAGCGGTTATTGAAAAATTGTTATCCTGGATAGCAAACTTTACAATGTCTGTTAGTTCAGAATTACTGGATATTATCCCCCGCAGAGCTATTCACACCGTTATTCCAAAATGCATGAAGTGTTGGCGTTTAAACCCTAAACCTTTTCAACCACTTATCAGGAATGTACCTCATAGTCGAATAAGCCAAGTAAAGGCATTCAGTATTGTGTCAATAGATTTTGGCGGTCCTTATATTATTAATCTTGCCAAACGCCGTGGAGCCAAGACACAGGATGCTTACATTTATGTCTTCGTGTGCTTCGCAAATAAAGTGCCACATATTGAACTTGTGTATCAGATCTAAGTTCTGAGGCATTTTTAAATGCACTTAGACGATTCAATGCCCGTTGCTCACAAATTTTTACCGACTATGGTACTAATTTTGTAGGGGCAAATCGATATTTGTTAGAAATAATGGAAAATGTTTCACATTCGGAAAACATTGCCTGGTCATTTCATTCTCCCGGTATTAAATCTGTAAACACTCACCTATCCAGGGTCATTGGAAACCAAATATTGACATATGAAGAACCAAATACTTTTCTCATTCAAATTGAATCATTGTGGAACTCTCACCAGTTGTGTCCCATGAGCTCTGTTCCAAATGATTTGACTGTGTTAACTACTGGACATTCTTTCACTCCGAACCCTGTGAGAGCAATTCCTGACCCGGACTTATACCATTTAAAATTAAATGAAAAAAAAAAATCTCTGTGAAATCGCGCCTTAATAAGAATTTAAGCTTTCCAATTGGTTTCCAATATGCCTAGCCTACGACTCTTTATCGGCGCACCCTAATTAATACCTGTCAGCAAAAACTGCGATTGTGGTGTCGGGGCACTAGGAGCGCTGGCTGCAGGCTGCACCAGTATTGGCGAAGCGTTGAGCATCATGGTGGAAGTGCCGCAATTCGAAGTGCTCGGTTCCCGCAGTGTTTGGCACTGCGTTTGCCTCCTTGGATAACGTTCTATTTGCTGCCTTGCAGCATTAACTTGCTGCCTCTCTAGCTGCAATTGCATTTGCAACTGTTGCAGCTGAGTCGGGGTGCTGCTGTTCGTGTTGCTGGCAGTTCTACGAACACCTGTAGGGTAGGTAAAAAACTTGAACGTCACAAAAAAACCTTGTTTTTTTGCCAAGACGAAAGACTGTTTATTGGGTTCGAGTATCATCTCTCACTTATTTTCTATTGCAATGGAAGCTGAGGAGATAACTCACCTGACAGTTGAGATAAGAGTTCAGCAATTGGGTCCACTGAGTCTCTTGAAGATGGAGATAGAGAAGAGAGTCCCCCAGAACTAAAAACACTAAAGCAAATATCTTTATCGGCATAACAATTGTGGTGTTGCGCATCCCACCAAGTTGAACAGGTTAGTCATTGATTAGGAATTTGGTTTCTCCAAATAGACAGAGAAAGTCCAAAATTCGAGACTGACACTTTCACCTTGTCTTCAAAATCGAATAAACCCATTATATTGGCTATTTTTCAAACTTTTTTATTATCTTCATGAATTTTAATGTTTTCAAGAATAGATATTGACTTTAATTTGTTATGTCCAAATAAAATGGAAACTTCAACCTTCTTGGGGTAGAAACATATACAGATATTTTGATATAGTCCAACAAATAGATATAAGAAACATAAAAAATACATCATGAATAACGAGGTGATTTTTATGTAAGGCGGGTCACTTTCACGTTGAGCCAGCAAACAAAACGTGCTCATTCCACTTTTATTGTGTAGGGGTGATTGGAAAATCACTTTAAACCTTATGACATTTCTTACATTCTAAGTATATCTCATTATGAGTGAGAAGGATAGAATTTCGAATTTCACTTTCACAAAAGAATATACTAGGTAATAATAATCCTATTTCTAAACTAATTCATAAACTTTTTCCTTTGAATTTAAAAAAAATATGACATCTCCCATCAATCAAGTTTGACAATTCTGTGATTTTTTAACCGGTAACAAAAAATACCGGTTTTATGCATCCGACAGGATGTTTTCTCTGTTGACATGATGGATGTCAACACAAATTGTAACAAAGTGAAGAAGTCTGATGCCATGTTTCTATCTACTTACTCATATTATTATAATAATCTGTCAAGTGAGTCACATTCGGTGGTTACTTCACTTATATTTATTTTAGTTAGGTGTTCATTCACTCATGTTAACCAATGTTAATCAACATTGCATAAGTCATTGATCGAGTTATACTTGCAGTGCTTCTGACCTTGATGAAAGCAAACGCTCGGGTTCGGCTGTTTACCTCTAATCAATGATTCACAAACATTTCAGTAAAACTTTGGAATGTAATATCTCCCCAAGTACTTTTGTACTTGTATTCATACTTTGATTGCGTTTTGTCTTATATCTTCTGCTATCCACATAAACACATTATTCATCGCTTTAATTTCGGAGACACCCTGTTAATTTCGACACATGAGTTCTAATTGATACTGATGAGTGTTTACTATCAATCTACTACCCAGTTTTCACACCACATGTTTCCAGTATTTTGTCACAACTTTTTTGCTTCGTCCACTAATCTCTTGAATCCATGACAGAAAATGTGAATGACTAACTTTTTGACGTAACTACTCGTGAACTGTGGTGAATATTTGATATTTTGGTTTTAAACCATAAAGTTGCCCATATCTCTTCTACAGCCCAAATAGACTATACCCACTGTCGAGGGCTCGATGGTCAGGGACGGATTCAGTCGATATCAAGTCTTAGTAGACTCAATAGAAATTCCAAAAGATGCTAATCATGAGGAAGAGATCCAAGGTCTTTTAACTACCCATGGTTTGTACTTTGAAGAAAAATACACCAAAGCCCAATTACTTGAGGCTTTGAAAATTGAAGAGTTCAAGAAATTATATGTCATAGACGAAATTGCCAAACAAAATTATCATACGGTTCTCATATTACCCCCATATTTTTGTATTTTCAATCCTATAGATTTAATTTGGAGACAATTGAAGAAAAGACTCCGTACAAAAAATACATTCCCAAATTTCACCCCTAAATTTATATAGAAGTGGAAAATATCAGTGCTGCCAATTGGCATAAAAAAGTGAATAAAGTTTTGAAATTCGAAGAATATTAGATATAAAAATCTGGTTGCTACCCATCTGAACGGTCCTAATTTTAGTGATAAAGAAGATGAAGTTTGAATATTTTTCATTTTGAATTAAATTTGTACGAGTTTGAATTGGCAGCGTAATATCCGAGATTTTCCCTCCTAAATTTTACAATGTAACGGTCACTATTACACCATCTCCAGAGACAATAATGACTGGTACCAGTTCAATGATGGCTCCGCATCAAGAACATCGTCTAAGAAGCTATCCCGACTAAGATCCCATAAACGCCATACATCATCTTTTATAGCCGTGATGATGAATCTAAGTGGGAGAGCCTTTCTCCTACCTCTCTACCTCTTAGACTACAGATGATTTTGGATCTGGACCATCTTGAATTCAACGAGTTCCAGCAATAACGGCAGCATTTCATTAATATGTTTCATCTTTATATTGATTCTTGCAATAATTAACTCTTTATTTTTACAATGAACAATTAAATATAAATTCAAAAAAATACATCACAAATATAAGGCATCCCTCAGTTCTTGTTGTATAATGGGATAATAGTCCAGTCTTATATACCTATTTACATAATTTAATTCAGGTTAATGAAATCATCATTATTCTCTGTTGTTTCTGAATAAACTAATTCAGTCCGACTCTGGTTCTAAACACTTGCGGATGACTTCGGAACGTCGGCAAAAAATATCAAAAGGATTGTGCCTTTTTCTATGTTTCATATAAGTATTTGTCCTACTATAATTGAATGGGACAAACTGTATTTTCACATCTACAGATTCATCAGATAGGTCAATTTACATGAAGTAGTATAATTTTCTGAAATCCATAATTTTCTTATGAATTTTCAACAGCATCTCAACAAATGTCATTGCAATAAATTAATGTTTGTGAATAATCTTCATGAAAATGTACATGCTCCTCATAGTTCCATTTAAGAGAAAAAAGTTATTTCAAAAAAATACTCAATGAGACAAGCAGTAATTTTAAAATTGTATGAAGAGAAATCTACAAATGATTTCAAAAATTGAACTGAAAAAAATTAGTGGCGGTATATTTGAAATTCCAGGAACATGAAATAGAGGGATATTTCATTGAAGAAAGTAGTTTGCAAATTAGTTTACTGGAATATAATATTTGGAAAACTTCAAAATCAAGTTCATCTTCATTTGCATCCACAAAGATGCTTGAATTGATGAATTATTTAATTTTTGCATGAAAAAATATTTGCAATCACAACTCCAGCAGAATAACTTGTTTATCACTTGGTGATGATGATATACTGGTACTGCTTTTGAATGAGAGAAAAATGATTTGTTCTGATATATAAAATTGATAACAAAACTTACCAGATTCTGGTTTCATAAATTATTCAGTCAACATTCACTTTTTCATGTATTCAGGTTAGTAGTGAATATTGATAATCAGACATGGACAAATCAGTTACATTAGAGGAATGTATTTAAATTGCAATTATGGAATTAAATTATCATAAAGACCAGTGACCATGATTAGAATATTGTGATAGTGATATACACATTAGTATATTTAGTAATTCAAATTGATACCTTCTCCAGAATTTTAGCAATAATCATAATTTCCAATTGGTTTTTGTTTTTATTCAAAGATGATGAATATTTTAAAATAAATCCAATCATGTGGAATGAGTTCAAAATAAAAAAAAATTCATCCATATCATAAAGAATTTCATTGATTCAGCAGTTCAGGGTAAACTAAAAACACACCAGTTTCTGAGGAAAATATAGAACATGATATATAACATTTTATCATTGTCTTCAGATTCATCTACCATACACTCTTCACATGACTTTGGCAATCAATTTTAACTTAAGACTCATCACACCAAGAATTTCCTATAATTTAACCACAGTAAAATATATAATTCCATTTATTATTACAAACCTGTGGAAAGCATCACATAGGTTTCTAATATATTTGATACACAATACAAGAATAAAGCCTTGCAACCTACCTGAAATGCATGTTACTTCTTCTAGGCCTTAGAGCAGCTGCACCCCTTCCCATATGGGTAGTTGAGTGACTGGCATTATGAGGCATACGGCGGACATTATGTCTTGTCCCAACTGGTTCATCCAAGAAAGATATCAAATCTCTTGGACCAGTACGGTGTTCAAGACTCAAGTGCCCAGCAAAATCATCAGTCATTAAATTTGGATCCCCACCCGGCATTGCAGCACATAAAGGGCAAACCTAAAAATTGATTTTGAATAACTCATTCACCCAATAGCATGAATTCAAACTTACAACTTCAAAATTAGTATCTTGATGGTCAGCAGTTACATGTTCTTGTAATGTGACATCAGTGAAGCCCATACGAGAACAGTAAGGACAGGTATATGATTGGGGCAATTCCACACTGGTTAAAGCTTCTCCACCATAGTACAATTCTAGAAAGCAACATTATTTCAGCAAAGATGTAAGCAATCAAACAACTATGAACTACCAAATAAAAGTCAATTATTGTCATTTATATCATGAGTATTTTAGTAATACATTAAGTTATGAATTATGGAAATATTTTGAGAAATATTATTGAACAAAAGTACTTTTTTCCAGACTTTCTTGTTATTAGGTACCTACCAATATAACATTCACAAAATTCTTCATCTGTACAATTATTGTTGAATATATTTTACTCATTCTCTTATAGGTCACTAGTTTTCAATGTATTATCTTAATTACCCTGCAATCTCCAATTGGTATGAAAATAACAAAACAATCCAAAGGTATGCTGATTCAGCAAGCAAAATATAAACTTTTGTTCCCTATGAATGCTAAGAATGACCATGAGATTAGGTGGAAATTGATCAATTTTTGTTTTAGGCATTGTACAATATATTATATTTTTTGTAGATAGGAAGCAACAATAAATTAATTCAAAACCTCTGCATTCCATAATTCCTGCTTTTACAGGGTGGGGATATTTTTTTTAATAACCTCTGCATTCTATAATTCCTGCTTTACAGGGTGAGGGTATTTTTTTTTAATATACAAATATTGTTATAACATATGATACCAGATGTCAAAGTTACCACTGCAGAGTCCTTGGACCAGTGGCAATGCAGGGTTGATACACACATAAATTACATCAACCAAATTCCAGCTAGGGAAATTAATTGATCAGTGTTCAACTTTCAATAACAAGTTTCCTAATTTTCAAGTGGAGTATAATTAGTTATGTATTCATATTGCATACTTCCACATTGGCAGTGGTAGGTTGCAGATGTTCAACTAATATAATTATGTAGCTGGATGTTCACATTGTTCGTTCTTGAGTAATTCAGACAATTCTTTGGGAAGACTTATAACCACCTAATGGCTCACCAAAATCAGATCTAGTCAATATGCACTGCATGGGATGATCAGTTGTATGTCTTGTATTGGTGGCTCCTGCTTCATAACATGCAGCACAAAGATCATAATCGTAGCACACAAGGCATTTGTATCGTCTACCTCTGAAATTACCCTTTAGACATGAATCACAGCTGACACCTGAAATCAAGTCAGGTACCAACAGTTTTGAAAAAAGTACCATTATTTGTAGAAAATCTTCAGTTGTGAATTTCGTACCTTCGTGACGGCTCATTATATGTTCGCAAAAACAAATTCTAGAAATTCCTTATCAATTTTGATGCTCCTAGTACATTTGGATGATTTTTGAAAAATATTAACATATTCCTACATTATAAGCAATATAACCTTAACTTAACCTTACAATAAATGACTGATGAGTGATGACATTTGGTAGAGAACAATTGAGAAGGAGTGCTGTTAGAGTTATCATAGAACAAGAATGACTTGCAACCTCATCTTTGAGGACACGATGACGTCACGATTATGCTCTATGATCGACTAAGTTCTGTGGATCAGAAACAATGTAATCTATTTTGTCATTTTTTCGCCATAGTGGGCCAGGATCATATATCTACTACTCATATACATATGAATCATAGCTGTCCTCAAAGCGGGACCACCTTCTGTCTCTATAGGTAACGAAATCGACCAATAGGCGTTGATGCCGACGTAGGGAAAAAATACGAAACTTGTCAAACCAATATGGCTGTTTCCATCCTCCACTTTCCGTCCTTATAGATTCAAAAAGTATAGGCGAAGCGCCATATATAGAAATAGTATATATATAGATGAAGGTGGGATCCACAGAACCATTTCGAGTGCCTAAATATTTCGAACCATTCCCATCACGTGATATGTCGAGATTCGTGTTTTTGATGATTATTTTTCGCAATGAAATTGTGGAGGCTAAGTTTGGTCAGAGAATTTTATTCTGATCCACTGATGCATGGCGTTAGACCACAGTTTTCATTTGTGTGGTGATTTAGGCTTTCAAGGGTGTTTTTCCACGAGCGAATGCGCATGCGTTCATATTGTGTCACGTGATTCACTGTGACCAATCTGGCAATGAAGTTTGGGAATGATTCGAAAACTTCAGGCTCTCGTCATATCGAGGAACAATATTAATTTAAATGCACGGATTCAAAACTACCCGAAATTAGCCAGCGTTAAGGATGCAATCAGCGAATGCAACAAATAATCCGTGTGTCGAGAATTCTCTTTCCTCCTATAAATGATACCTGCTTGATATGTCAATGGACCTGGGTGAATAAGGATGCATTGCAACAAATAATCCGTGTGACAAGAAGTCTCCTTCCTCCTATAAATGATACCTGCTGCTTGATATGTCAATGGACCTGGGTTCGAATTCCGTACTCCACCCTCCACCCATAGAACTAAAACACTGGTGCCTCATACTGATATAGCTCTCTTTTTGATATTATTTTTTCATATACTCCAAAGAAATTCGAGAAATGTCAATTCAAATCCACTTTTTGATCTTTCTTGAAAAAAAAAATGCAGAACTATCCTATTCTCCTGATCTGGAAACGGCTCGAACGATTTGAAAAAATGATCATCACCGACTCTGGTGGTGGGTATTGAAAAGTTCTTATGAATTTTTTGAAGAGGAGAACGCCCAACCAACCAGATTGTAATGACAAAATTTAGACAATATCCATAGATAATTCAGTTTATCAGGCTTTAGGACATTCATATTCATTATCTCATATTAAATTCTTTACTCTAGCTAATCCTGGTCCTGGTAAATGTTTCAATTTTGTCAAGAAAATTGAATTCAAGGTTATGAGAAAAAAATATTACGCTAGCCAGCGTAAGCGTAATATATCAATCAACGGTATAATAGGAAGATCTGACGTCCATTCAAATGGACGTGAATTATTTATAGGTGGGGAATCTGTTCTGAATTTATTCAATACTCACACTAAACTACGATCTAAATATAATAAAACCTACCTACCCTCCTATGTAGCACATCCAACTGTAAGCTCTCTTCTGTGTTGCTACTTGGTTTAAAATTATAACGTACCTTTGCAGATGGCACCACATGGTAGTCCATCTATTATATTGTACTGAGACTACTAAGTATTGTTACATACAGTTCTCAAGAGGCTCAGAGCATCAGATATTCTGATAAGCTAGAAATACAGTACGTCCATTCAAATGGACGCCAGATCTCAGGCTATACCATTTCTTGAATGAAGATTGAAAAAATATTGATTCTGAATCTATCTTAAGCCTCCCAAAAGCCTCACATAAGAAATATAACGGTGTCTGAAAAATTCTTGATTGTGAAGTATAACTACTGAATAACCATCAATATAGAAAAATCAATGACCTTAGTAGAAAGGAATTTATAGCAAGAAACCGAATACAATTTTAGCTTTTATTACTAATGACTATGCTCACAAAATATTCAAGTTCTAGGAATTGTCATAAACACAAAAATAGTACATGGACTCAAATACACAATTTATTCTGGATCAAAACTATTTTCTTCAGCTTTGGATGACCATTATTAATGAATAGAAAAAATAACTTATCATAATTGTTATTGAAATGGGTATCAATTAATCCAAATATAAAATCATATCAGTGCCTGAGAACTACTGCAAATATTCCTATAAAATCTACAATCTCATTCCAATACATTTCTGAATAAATTAATCAGTACCAGGAAAATATAACAAGGATGTGGCACATCTGTTGAAGAAACAACACAAAAAATATACAATTTGAAACTAGTAACATCATGAGTTTTGTTTTTTAGGAATACTACTATTCAATCTACGGAGTACCCCAGTTCTGCTAGTTTTCAGCACACCAACAGGTTTTATAAATATACGGCTATCACGTAATTTTCCTAATTCCATATGTAACTTATTCAATATAGCATAGTTTGGTTGATTCACAGCTGCTTTACTTTGTAATGAAGTGATTTCTTGTTCCTCCATTTTCTTTTCTTTGAAGCTTTTTACAGACCTATTGCCATACAGTCTCAGAAGTGACCCCCAAGAAGTTATACTAGGATGTAAGGCCTGTAAAATAGCTTGAGATGCCCTCTGCTTGCCATCTCTTTTATTCTTACACACCACAGTAGCAGTATGTTTTCCTACTGTCATTGTAAACTCATTGCCTTGATTTTTTGAAGTATTTCCTTGGTAGCTAATATGGAGATCATCTAATCCAAAATTACGTTGGAGACATGTTAGAAGTATATCATATGGTGCTGGTTCAGTGGTTTTGGCACAAAATTCTGCTACACGGGGATCTTCTACTCTAATTTCATCAAAGAATGAGAGATCCTGGTCTTTGTCTTTTTTAGCTGTATCACCTGTAAATGAGCCTAGTACAGAAAATATTGACATGAAAATTGAAAAACTGATGGCATATTTTGAATATGGAGTGTTGACAAAAAAATAAAAGTATATAGAGGGTGTTCAATTAGAGGAGTACCCTTATTGGATTACATTTTCAACCCTCAAGAAATAGTATACCTATACTCCTCATTTTTGATAAAAAAGAGTTTGTTCTAATTTTTTCACAACAAATTTTCAGAAGATTCTTTAAATCTGTTCAAAAAAGAGTGTCTCTCTCAATGAAGAGCATGGAAATTCATCCATCATCTTTATTCATTGCTGGAATACCTTCAAATATAAATATAATTATATTTGAAGAAATAGATTATCAATGTCATCATTATTTCAACATACAACATTTGGAAACCCAGAAGTTTTGATTGTTGCAACCTATAAAATTAGCTTATTAATTGTCCCAAATGATTCATAATAATTTGAATAATTCCTTCAATTGAAGCAACTCAAATATATAAATACTTTGGAACTACAGAATGAGCAAAGTTGGCACTTTTTACCTGATTTATTGTCAGGTATAATTTTTAATTTCATTTCTGGTATCAAAATTTCTAAAGTTGCTTTAGCTGCTTCTGACTTAGCTTGCTTCTTACTGGACCCATAACCTACTCCATATCGCATTTCTTTTATTAAAACAGTAGCAGAATAAGGTGTTGCTGCATTTTCTAACTCAATGAATTCATAGCTTGGTTGCTTTTTCAAAGCATGTTGAACATATTCATGCAAAATACAAACATATGATTTGCCATTGGGATTCATTATCCATTCTTTCTTTGAATTTGGGTTACTATCAGATGCTTCAGAATTTCTAATAGGGAAGGTTATGAGTTTGGTTCCATCTGGCAATGTAGGTCTTTGAAGTTGCTTCTCATGTTTTCGTTTCTTAGTGAATTTTCTCCTTTCTGACCATGATTTGAATCTAAGTACTTTCAGTGACTGAAATTGAAACACTTTTTGACAATATTCTCTAACTTCTTCTGGAGAAAGATTTTGCATCTGAATATTTTCTTGCACAGTTTCAATTTTTGCATTTGGAAAATTCTGATCAGAGATATTTGACCTAACTTCCTCAGGACCTTTACTTTTTTCTTCTTCCAATGCTTTCTTGTAACTCAAACAAGGAATTGCATTCACAGGGATATTATGTTTGCGAGCAGACCCTGGCCCTAGAAAATATGGCCTGGAGAGGGTACATACTCTAGTGATTTTGTGTAAATATATTGGCATTCCACTATTGTGTGCAACTTGTATCCAGCCTTCTGGAAGGATATCAAAGTGGTTTTGACCTTTCTCAATTAAAACAATCTTTGTTTTCTCTTCAAAAGGAATGTCATCTTCAGTTTCTAAGCCTGCTTCTGAAGCTTTTCTCTTCTTTCTTTCCAAAGCTTCTTCAAGCATCTTTTCAATCTCATCATCAGGAATGTCAGAATCATAATCTACTGCATTATCAGATTCCTCATTTTCATCAGTCTCATCGAGAATGTGGAAGCTATCTACATCGTTCGTACCGTTTTGAACTGATCCCGGGGGAACAAAATGAAATGAAGAATCCCTACTTGCTGGACAACCTGATTTATTGGCGATTCCATTTGTGTTGTCTTCCATGATGCCACTTTCTTCAAACAAATGAAGTGATGCTAAGTTTACACACGGTTACAATCAAAAGAATATTTCAACCAATATTTAATAAAAAATTGAAATATTCATTGAATAGAACCGAGGAAAACTGGAGTGGTGGGTAATATTTTTCTTTTTGTTAATTTGGGTACAAAATTTATGACTGTCCAACCTCAACATGTTCACTTTTCACTTCTTCTCACTTTTTTTTCTAACATTCGTCTCACGACCACAACCGGATGTCCTTCCCGCAAGAATTCAAATTACCATGACTTTCGGTAACGCATTTTTACACCAATAAAAACGATTCTAGCGATAATAATTAACGATTAAATCTATCTACTATTTCTATATATGGCGCATCGCCTATAATAGATATATGATTAACGACAATAGTGGTGTGGTATGGTACACTTGACCTACCATTTCATCCAGAGAATTAATTCCAACGTAGAAATGGAAAGATCATGTGAAGTCATGGCTATCTGATTAACTTATAAACATCTCACTATCTGATTCGAATTCTTGCTTACTATCCATATATCTACTATTTCTATATAGGGCACATCGTAGTAGTAGATATATGGACTATACGATATCTCAACAAAAATACTGCATTGGTTGCATGGTTAAAAAAAGTTCAGTCTATGAAAAATGAACGAAAACACAAATACTAACACGTTGACTACCAAGCCTGATTTCAACATTCTGACCCAGGGTACCATATGTATCACCGGTGATGCTCTTTCATAGTTCACTTCTGTACTTTATGTATCACCAGTGATAATGAACACATATTATTTGAATGCTTGTAGAGAAGCACAGTGTATAAACGAAGGAATTAGATTGTGGGTATGGTACAGGTATGAACCAAATAATATCGGGTTGAAGTGGGTATCAGCAGTGATACACATAGATCTGGAAAATGCCTATAGAAATTGACTGGATTATTCTGATGGAAAGACGCACCGCTCACTCTCTTGTCAATTTTTTATTGAAATTGTTACACTCATAAGTAAAAAATAATCTTATCAATAATCATTGTACAAAGAAAATACTAATGTTTTTTTTTTAAACAGTCCAAACAATATGAAGGTTTCTCGGGGCATTCCGCGTAAAAGGTGGTAACCAATTTTGTATGTTTTGCTGCCATCTTTGAATTTTTGCGTACTCCTCGAAATACGTTTTTCGTCTTAATTGTCCATTATTTTCTTATGGAGGTTTGAATAAAAGCGCTTATAATCGAAGATAAAACAACAAAATATAAGGAGTTCCCTACAATCATATGATGAAATGGTTCATTTATGTACCATGTGGATCACCGGTGATCTTTCAGCAAACTCTATCGAGATGAAGGCATCTGGTTCAAAATACAATATAGCGACATCTTGTAGCGAAAGGCTACGTATTGAGTTTGATTCTTCACTTGGTACAGAGAGGAAGTATGCGATTTTTTACGGTGGTTTGTAGAGCAAATGAGAGTGTGTATCACATGAGACTCATATGGTAGCCAACGTGCTAAAGAATAGTATAACTGAAAATGCAGATATTCGAATTTCAATCACAATCATTCACATACGCGCTAAAACCAATTTATAAATTTGAAATTCTTAGCCATATTGGTTTAAAAAGTCTCGTATTATTTTTTTCCTACGTCGGCATCAACGCCTATTGGTCAATTTCGTTACCATAGGGTGAGATGTTTATAACTACAGAAGTTGGTCCCGCTTTCAAGACAGCGGACAGCTATGTTTCATATATAGAGTAGTAGATATATGCAAACAACAAGTACAACAACACAAATAAACATCTCACTCTCACTCTAACAACATACACACAAACATAAACCTAACCTAACTGAATTTGTGATCACAGTGTCTGTGTGAGTGTGAGCTATTTTCTTTTCCTAGTTTTTCTAAATTCTAGATTGAAAGAGCTAGAAAAGTGTTCGGTAATAATTGAAATGGATAATTTAGAACTTCTTCATTGCCAGTCAGTTGAAGTCACCGAGAAAATTAGTGGCAATCAGAGAGCCTACTGCTATGCAGAGGGTTCAAGTCATGTCGTATGTGGTAAAACTTTGTATATTTATGATGACAAAAAAGGCAATTACTCGAATCATCACATTGACAAAATAACTGGAGATCTCAAATATGTAAGATATATATCCTTGAATGATATTGTCTTTCTGGCAACAGAAAAAGAGCTACTGATATTTGATCATAAAAGAGAGACATCTCATATAGGTCATATGATGAAAAAATCCTTGGTTGAAATATCATGGAATCCTACAGATACCCTCTTAGTTGCTATAGAGAGTGATTATAATATATCAACATTCACATTTTCAAAGATATCCCATTCTTTTGACATAAAACATACTGTATCTTTGGATGCTGCTGTTCCAATTCCTGTCCTGATTGGATGGGGCTCACAAAATACTCAATTCAAGGGACCTAAACAGAGACAAGCTGCAGATACAACCAAAAATGCTGAAGGTGAATGTCAATGTTGATGATGTGAAAATGAGTTATTTTGCTTTTTTCAGTCCAGAAAATAGTTAGCCATGGGCCTCCTAGAATATCTTGGAGAGGCAATAGTGAATTATTTGTTGTGAATTACTTCAAACAAGAGGGTCGTTTTCTCAAAGTTTTTGACTGTGATTTGAATCCCTTGAATCAGTCAGAAGACTATCCCAACTTACTTGAACCTGTTGCCTTTATGGGACAAGGCCAATGTATTGCATGTTGTGCTTCCAAGAGTAATATCAATGAACTGATTATATTTGAGAAGAACTGCAAAGTTAAAGCAGTTTTTGAATTATCTGATATCAAGGTAAGCATTTAAAAATAATATCTATACAGTAGATTCTTATTCATTTTTCAGGGGAGTATACAAAAATTACAGTACCATTCTCTGATGAATCTCCTAGCTATACAAAGTTTTTATGAAGACCAGTGCTATATAAGTATATATTTATACTCAAATGCTAGATGGTTTTTGAAACAGCAACTAGTTTACCCATCAAACTGTAAAGTTTTTGGCTTTGAATGGGTTGATCTGCAGGAACATTTATTTACCACCTGCAAGATTGTTGTATTCACATCAGAGAACATTGAACATCATATTTTCAGATTTGTAATAAATAGATCTCCACTGTCTGCTACAGTAGCAGTGGTAAATGGAAGAACTATTGAGTTCTCTATGTTTGACAAAAAAGTAATCCCCCCACCAATGAGTTTTGACTATATTCAACATGTAAGACCTATCAATAGAATACTATTCCATCCAACAAAGCCACTGTGTGTCATTATTGACTCAGCATTCCAAGTTGGACTTCTAGAATTTGATGAACATAAAAAAGTTGCATTAACAATGATACAGGAACAAAATTTCAACATGTTCACAAATTCTTATAGCATTGTTTGGGCTGAAAGAGATATCATTGATGTCAATATATCAGGTGATATTGAGAAAGAGATTTGTGCTTCTAAAATAGTGGGTGACATAGCACTGAGACTGAAAACTGTCAAAAAAGTGCCTGAAAAGTTGATTCTGCAATACAATGACACCAATACATTAGAATCTCACAAATTTCTAGAGGATGAGACCACCTTAATCTATTTGACCAAGAGAATTTTCTATTTTAATGACTCTGAGGTTCATTTTGAGTGTGCCCTGAGCAAGAATAGAGAATTCTTCCTCAATGATGATTTAGTTTGTACTGGAGTAACTTCTTTCTTCATATTCAAAGACTATCTTATGTTCACCCATGTAAATTGTAAGTTATATTGCATGCGTTTAAAGGATAGTCATGGTTTTTGTAGCAATATGGATTTGTCAAAAATATTTTCAAGAGAAATTGAAACAGGTGGTAGGATTGTTACTTGTAACAACACATTGCCACCTCAAATAATTCTTCAGCTTCCAAGAGGTAACTTGGAGAGTATTGGATGTAAGTTGATGACAATTGATGTTGTAGAAGGAATGTTGCAGCAAAATAACTGGAAAGCTGCATTAAATATATTAAGGACAGAGAAAGTAAACTGGAATGTATTGATAGATCTGAATCCAACTAGATTTTGTGAACATATTGGTGATTTTGTTGAGGCTGCCAGAAATTCAGCAGTTCTAAGTTCTATAGTTACTGACTTCAATTTAACTGAGAACTGTTTTCAAACATTTTATAAAAATTATTTGACCAAAGCATTGCCAGCACCTAAATACAATAAAAGGAAAATTGTTGAAAACATTTTGGAATATTTGGTTTCAACAGATTGCTTGAACAATTTAGCTTGCATAATAGCTATACAACTGAAACATATTTCTTTGAAGTCTGCCTTGAAATCAATAAAGGACATTTTTGAAGCTGATCCAGAGAAGTACGAATCAGTTTGTAGTAAAGCTATCAACCAGCTTCTCATTCAAGAACATTTCAAGGATGTCTTGAATGCAACTTTTTGTTTCTTCAATTTGGAATTTTTGTCTCTTGTGTACCACAATAGTACTGAAGACCCTAAAGTCTATGAACCTGAACTGGCTAATTTGCGGAAAATGCTTCCAGTTGAACAGAGATTCCATATGTGCCTGAAAGGCAATGATTTGAAGAAATCTGTAAAATATGTCTTGAGATGTCCAGCCTTCAGTGAAAAATACATTTCTGATTTCATTTTGAATAACAAACTAGAAGAGGAAGCTTATTTTTCAGTCAAGCCTTTTCATGAACACTGTAAATTAGTTACCAGGCTATTTGCAAAAAGACTGTCACTTCAACAAAAATACATAGAAGCTGGATTGATTTTGAAACGATCTGAGTTACTAGAGGAAGCTTTGATCCAGTACACAAATGCTCTAGAATGGCGAGAAGTATTGGGTTTGATGACATTACTGAAGTTCAATGAAGAAAGGAAAAATCTCACTCTGTATGACTTATCTCAGAGATTATTGCGAGCAAATAGGGTTGATGATGCTGTGATTGTTATTGAACATTATCTCAAAGATTATGAGAAAGCTATATTAACTCTGGTGGAGTACAAATCTTTCAGAAAGGCTGTTTGTGTTGCTCACTCATATGGAGCTATTGAAATTACAAGTAAGTCAATGAGGAAAACATTTTAATTAACATTTTCAATAATCATTCATACACAGGGTGCTTCATACATATGTAATTACTAGAAAAATAAGCTGACATTTTTGCCTGCCAAGATTTCAAATGATTATCTGTACACAGCTGCATGAAGTTTGCATACTAGGTGCAAAAGAAAATATTGAAAACAAGTTTTTCTAGTGGCATCATAGTAAATTTTTTCATGGAGGGAGCAAGAGTATCAAGTAAAGGACATTGGTTACACCTGTTTCTCAATTATATGGAAACACATTCTTATCTCTTTAATTATTGTTGTTGGCTAGTTATAATAGAGCCGCCCACAAATGTATAGTTAGACATTAAACATAATGAACACCCTGTAAGAACACGCACACACAACTGAAACATTTTTGTGAATATGTTTTGCAAAGATGAATATTCAAAAAGTTACCACCGTCATTTCATACATATAAAGAATCCTGTATATAATGAAAAAATCGAATAGTTGTATTTAGCAATAATGTAGGGGAATCATGAATTCCATTTTTCAAATAGTATTTCCTCTTATAGATGATACAGTCATTCCACAATTGGAAAACTATGTATCAGACCTGATAGAGAAAATAAGTGGTTTCAACCAGACATTCTCATCATATGCATCTCGTCTGGAGACAGTTAGACAAGAAAAGAAAATCAAGTTGGAGAATGCCTCACTAGGGATATATGAGGGTGATGATGATTTATATTCAGAATCAGGAAGCACTATTTCATCATTAGGTTCTTCCAGAGCCACCTCAAGGTCACGTGGGTTAGCAGGAGTTCACCTTTTTATTTAGTTCTATTGAATTACCAACTGTGAATTTCAGGTCTACTGCTTCGTCAAAAAATCGTCGTAAGGAAGAAAGGAAAAAAATCGATTTACGAGAAGGTGGTTATTATGAAGACATAGCCCTTATAAGGGCATTACATATTCTGTATACAGAAACATTCAAATTTGGTCAAGAAGTTAGGGAAATTTGCCTGATAACTGAATACACAAACTTGGAAATGTTTAGACGGCTGCATGATGATTTGAAACACTTGCAGAAGGATATGATAAAAAGAATTCCTGATATTTGGTCTGAAGTTTTCATTAGAGATACAGATTCCAGCGATTTCGCAACTTTAGCTGTAATACAAAATAAACAAGATTTAGGTGAGATATTTTTCATGGCAATGTTTAACCTCCTTACATTACCTTTTTTCTTTTCAGATCCCAAATACTGCACCCCACCTCCTGAAGATGTAGCAAATTTGTCTTGGACTCTAGATATATATGCTTGAATTAAAACTTTACTGTTCAGTTATGTAGATTTTCCACTATATGCGACTCAGTTAATTGAAGATGTTTTACATTTGTTTTTATTGAATGAGTTTTTATAATTAAATCGTTTCAACTACTCAAATTCTTATTGATAGTCAATTCTCTAGTCAAATCTAGTTGCATTTTTGCGTCCAGGTGGTATGACTTGATGAGTTGTAAACATTGCATTATTGATCGAATTCAGATTGATTTCTCTTTCATGTAGGTATAGCAAAGTAAACGAGTATAACTACATAAAATGATCAGGTTGATTTTGGTTATTTTTTTTAGTTTCTCTGATATGCTCATTCTTCTGGAAATATGCTGTAGGTACTTTAATATGGTTCCAATTGATGAAAGATTCATTTTAGATATAAGTAAGCATGAAAGTGATAGAAAAGTGTAAATTGGAAATTGCAAGTGTTTTGAAGAAACTATATAATTTCAAACTTGAAATAAAATCAAATAATTTGAAAACTGTTTTTATTATGTAAACTGGCATGTCACGCTATCATTTCATTATTTTGAAGGGAAATATAGTAGATAATGAAATCACATCAGTAACATTTAACTTGCTCTGGTTAGTATATTCGTTAGTCACGGAAATTACTCTAGAATAATGAACTTGAGAACGGTAGCAATGAATTATTCTATTTGAGGAAGCTACTGTGTTCAGAGAAATATCGTTAGCTAAGTTTTTTACATTTACTATAGATTTCCATTAAGTAATAACGGCCGAGTCAATGCAAAGAAACTGGAATAATGATGTGTTATAGCGGTTCAGGTCGTCAAAAATAGGTAAGGAAGATGACAAATGACTATCTCTGTTTACTTCTCGCATCCAATGACAGTGGTGGCGATTTTCACCGAAACACTTACATACACCACAGTACCACACTCCTCGGTAACGAATAAGTAACGTTTTTTGGAATTAAATTATTATAATGCAATTAATACACACCAGGAATATAAAAAAATACTATGTTGTTATTGTTGTTTCTCAATGACGAATGCCCATGGTGGTTGACATTTGACAGAACTCAATAATACCCGCCATATTCGAAATGGCCAATCAGCATTTTGTGTTGGAACTATAGCCAATGAGACTTCACCATCGCATCATCCAATAAATTTTTGGATCTTAAAACGAGCGCATGCATCTTAAGAATATATCTAGATGAGAAGGCCTTTTGTTATTGTTTCGATATTGATGCATGTATTTTTGTTTATCTAGATAGGAGTACTGTTGGGCTGTCCATGGACCATCCCCGCTTTTTGTATTCAGACAGAGGAATATCTGAGGCTCCATTATTTTCTGTGGTCAATTCAAATGGTATGTATAAATATTTATCATTTTTTATTAAAACCAATTGATAACAAAACGATAAAAATATAACAAAATGGTAAGATGGACAATAATTATTTCAAATTCAAATCGAGATCGCTTTAATTTTTCGCAAAGCTTACAAACTAAATCTTAATATATCAATAGCTACCCTAAAACAACGATTGCTTAGAAAAATTATATGTATATATGTTGTAATACTATGATTATTCATTATATTACATGAATGAGTTATTTGGAAATGTAGATACTATGTTCCGAACACTTTGGATTTGTTTCACGTGCGTGTTACATGTATCTACACGGTTTGTTTTCAAATTATATGCAAAATATATAAAAGCATGTATACAGTCATGTGCAAAATGTATCATTTTTTGTGTTTATAGCTCATTTTTTCATTCATTTAAAATATCATTAGAAATTTCGAGCCATAAGGTAACTAAATATATTTTTGCTCTTCAGAGTAATTTAAATTCCAAGCTGTTTGATGGGTCCAAATATTTTGATGATCCTGCATTCTTTTATAAGTAATAAGCTATGTAGATGTTCACATATTATTTGAATATAGTATCAACATAAAATAACATATATCCTTATATGCATACAATACATGATTGCGAACAGTATTCAGTGACTTCCATTCCGGATAAAAAATCTTTCATTTAAGAAATGCAGTACACTATAAAAGCAGACTTATTTCCACCAAACATTTTGAGAAACGAATATTCGACTAATCTAAGAAAATTATCATCTGTTTGATAATAAACTGAGAAAAGCTATGGAGCTCGGTAATAATACAATTGAAAGATAATTTCAAAATTTTGTATAGTAGCGATTGCCTGTATAAATATATTTATCACTTTGCTTCTTGGCAGATGGAAAGTGTTTGATATTGTATCGTTTCCAGTCAGCAAAATATCAAATAAGGCAACAATGTTTCTCAGATATTCAACTACTTATTTGTAACAAACACTTAATTAAATCTAATATACTTAACGATAACAACCATGTTCTTATTGCCCTTATTTATTTGTATTCATAATTCATCAAGTGACATCTTTTAATTGTTTGGTTTGTATAAGAATCCTTATTTTACAAAAAAATGCTCTTAGAAGAAAATCTGAGCACATATTATAATAGCAAGGTTTTCAGTTCCTCTTGTCAGTGTACTGCCTGGGAATGACAGTATAGCTAACTGAGGTTGTGCGAACATAACAAAGCGAAACTAGATACCAATCAAACACTATCCACAACCATAATATTTATATAAAATTTTAACAATAATATACTAATCAATTCATTTAACGAAATAATATAACAGCATTTATAACAAAGAACTACAGCATTGCTAGTACTTCTCGTTATATAGAAATGTATGAATACATTTTTGCTCAGGTATGTTTGACATTTTTTGTGATCGCATCACATTAATGAATATGTTCAGAAATATTTATGGAAAATTTAGTATGAATCATCGCGATTTCTGAAAATGAAAAGTAAAAATCAACATTTCCAAATTCCCGATATATTATAAAGGAGTAAGTTTTTCTTTGCAAAATTCAGGTTGTTGATATCATAACTAGACGTGTTAAGAGTTGGTAGGGTATAATGCTTTAGCACTTGATATAAGAGGAATTAGGTCCATTTCAAAACAGTTTCGTTAACAAAAAAGCTCATTTTAACTCGTTGAGAATTAGAAAATGAGAACTTTATCACAAAGGAACATGGCCGAAAATATTATTTTTCAACCTGTAGTGACGGCAACGTCAAAATTAAATTCCTACACATAATATACAACAAATGAATCACAATCCTTCGACCATTTTCCATTTTATGAGCGGTTGAAATATGGAGGCGTTAATATTCGACTGGGTCGAGTTATTTGTTTATCACTTGAAAACACCCAAATCTTTCATAGTAATCAGGATGTATTTCGAAATTGTATATGCTGAACATACAGGGTGTCCGGAAAGGTCATGTCGTAAATGATAAATTAATGTTAGTACTTTATATAAAAAAACTTCTATCGTGCTTCGTTATGGAGTTATTTCTAGTAACTTTCAAACTGTTGCCATGGTATCCATGATATTCAAGCAGGTGAATGAACTCATACTAATGATCCTTTCCATACGTAAACGGCTCTTCAGTGAATATATGTTTTGCCTTCATTAAACGGAAAAATTGCGCCCCATCCTGTATAAAACATAATCACTGAAAAGCCGTTTGCGTATGAAAAGGTTCATTGGTACGAGTTTATCTACCTGCCTGAAATTCATTAATTTTATTCAAACTTTCAAGGCCAATAACTCAGTAACGAAGCGCGATAGACATATTTTTTTATATGAAGAACTAACATTATTTTGGCTTACACTATCAGCCCTATTATTCCGGACACACTGTTTAATAGGAACCATAGGAGTACGATAGAATATAAGAAAACTGTATATAACAAGTGAAACAAAAGTAATATATGTTCTGAGATTAGAGATGTCTTGAAGGCATCTACAGTATCAAAAATGTCACACATACACAATTGATATTCGTATTTTATGAGGCATACAAAAATTGGTGAATTATGCAAACTTTTCCCATTCGCCCCTCCCCCATTAGCGCTCCATGTAGCATGTGAAGATAGCTTGAATATTAGCAATTGAAGAAAGCACCATTATGAATATAACTTGTCGTGATTTTTAAATAGTCCACTTTATCATTTATCATTGTTCAATGATCGAGCCATATTTAGAATATACAAAACTTGGAAAAATGCACCTTTTCGATTCTTAGATTGTGCATTTGATACATAAAAGGAACACTGCAAGTAAAAACATTTCGTTCAAAAATTTGCACCTTTCAATGAATCAAATAAGAACCCGATCCATATGAGTCTTAGAAAGATATAAACATATTCCTTTCTGATACCGATATGATTTGGGAGCATCTTGGGAAGTGTTGCTCTCAACTTTTAATGTTTTATTCAATCTTTCTTAATAAGGCTCATCGATTCAGGGTTTTCAGGGTTCAGTTCAGTCTTCAGTGCTCATGTTACTATGCATTGCAAGCTGAACATAATCTGAACTTTCATATAAACAACAATAGACAAAGTTTATTCTTCATGATGATATGAAAGTAATCAAACAAATTGATGAAAATAGGAAGGACATGACACTCCATTGATGGAGGATGCCCAAAATTCAACTACTTTGTTGTTTTCTGACAAAACTTGAAAGATCGACAGTTCCAAAAGACACACTACATTTTCTAAATGAATATGTAGAAAGTGATTTTGTTGAGCCAGGATGAAAACGTATATAGACGCTCTTGGAACCGATCGATCCCTAATCAGAGTAGATATTATAAGAATTCATTTAATTATACATTTTTTATAGCCTGATTGAAGAACACTTTGAGCTAAAGGACCTTGGGAGAGTCCTGTTACTGTCACAAAAACGAACTGAGATAGGTGCTTTAAAGTTCAACACCTAACTTCTCAATTTTACGAGACGTGTTTTTTGAGGAAAATTTAGTTGAGCTAAACTCACTCGACTATTTTTTTTGCTCGGACAAAAAAAAGGGATATTTTTAATCGCCAATTTTGTCTTTAGAAACAGTTGAATTTGTGCATATCTGGCCATCATTCCCAAGGTAAAACACAGTAGGTACTGATTAATGAAAAATGTATTTTCGGTAATATCATATTTTTTTATATAATCACTAAGTTATTCTCCATGAAAAGTTCTGCATGTTCTAAAATTTAGAATACAACCATCAGGTATCAAATTTTTCAGTCGTATTCGCGATGTGTCAAATATAAAGGTACTTCTTGAGTACAATTCACATTTTTCGGCAAACCGCGTATACGATTGAAAAAATTGATATCTGGTGATTGTATTTTAGATTTTAGAACATGCAGAACTTTTTTATGAAGAATAATTTGTTTCCTAAAATGAATAGTAAAAAAGTTAATTTCCAATATGGTTCCAACTTAGTGAGACATACTGTACAAAACATCAACTTATTTCTGCTAGCTGAAAAAAGTTTCAGATATACTTAATATTCATTGATTCATTATATTTCATTTGATTTTATCTAAAATATGCATGTCATATATGTATGACAAGTACAGAATTTTTAATGAAATAACTGGTAGATACTTCAATTTTTGAGTATAACTGCATTTGCAGATGAAATTTTGCTGAATCTCAACATAAGTTATAAAAAAAAGGTATAAGGTTTTCAGTTCTTACCATTACTGTGTTTCATTTGGAAGGGGTGTCATTTCCTTATTTTCGTATATTCTGGATATTGTTATTTGAAACCATGATTGTTCAAGTGACAAGAATAATTGTTAAGATACATAAGTAGGTATACAATAAAAACAACTTGAATCAACTGTCTTACTTGTGCATATCGATTGCTAAAAATCACTAGGTAGATAATTTATTGACCGAACTAGTGCTGGGACACTAGCTCTCATCAAATATCTAGCTTGGTGTTGTTGAACAATTCACATCCACAGTTTTACTGATCATACAACTATAATCCATATTGTTTCTACTAGTTACTGTTTTGCACAAAACAGCGGGGTGTTCTATCAATACTTGAATAGCGATATGAACAGCAAAGCAGTTGACACACAGTAGGTAAACGATACTCTCTCCATCAAACTACACTGCACAAACTCGTTCACGTGGAAATTTATCTCGGGCATATTCGTGTTCAACGTCAAAAGAAAATTCAAAACACAATTATTGTGGTAAATCGGTACGGTTTTCGATGTATGTATGTTAGCAACGAAACTGAACTACCCAACGAATCAACTGAGAATCGTGAATTTCCGCCCCATCCTAGAAAATACAGTTATTTATTATACAAGAGAAAAAATTAGTAGATTTCAGCTCCAGGTTGTGTTGTCTCCCGACGCGTAGCGGAGGGAGACAAAAAAACAGTGAGCTAAAATCTAATATTTTTCCCGTGTATAATACACTATTTTTTTCTAAGACAGTAGAAAGGACGAATCAATATTGAGAAGATATTACATTATATTGAAATCAGAAAATTATCGACGTGAAATTAGAGGTTTTTAACAGGAGGGACACCTGCGTTGTAGGCATCTTTACCATTCTTTTAAAGTTATCAAATATCTGATGTCATTCCTGTCAGTCTAATTCTGTGATTTGATTTCAAAAAATTTGCGAATTTAGTGGTTGTTTAGTAATTTATGTAACCGCGAAGTCGAATGGAAGATAAAAGGACTTGCAATCCTTTCTCGGAGACGGTGTTATTGGCTTATTTTTCGGAACTATAGCACAACAGAAGCCATCAACAGTGTATATATATATATGTGATATATATCCGGGAAAAAAGTACTCACTTTTGCCAATGCCAAACTTTTTTCCCGTCAGGAAGTGCTCGAGAAGTGAGAATTGCCATTTTCGTCCTGTATCTCAGAAAAAGGAAGGGCTGCGAAAGTTTGTTCGTTTCTCAAAAAAAGTAGGTCACTAATTTGAAAATTGCAACTCTTTATCTCCAACGACTCACTGTACATTTTGCCCGTTCCCCTAATTTCGTAGGTATGTTCATCATTCAAATTACAGGTTCAAAAAACAAAAACTCTAAGCGTCGATCGACAGCAACATTATTTTCGGCCATCATCAGACACAAATAAGTAGGTAGGTACCTATAATAATACAGACCTTATTAATGACATTTAACTAGGAAAGACACATTCATCTCTGAAAACATGTGAAAGTTTATACTTACTTCATTAAACTAACAGTTACAAATGTCTTCAGACTAGGTATGTTTTTTCCACAGATATAATTCGTCTTTCCTAAGATTTGCATTATTCCAGGTAGTTATTCGTTTCTGATGATGGCTGTAGTTACAACCTTAATATAAGTTTGTGGTTGACCGACAAGGAGTTTTTGTTTTTTCTTTTGAAAATAACCGGACCCCTTTGAGAATGTACGGTTACCATGACAATTATAGGTTGCCTAGATGGGTCGGAAAATCCGCGATTTGCAGTTCATCCGCTCCTCTTGGGCCGGGCGCATATTCTTATGTTACCGACACAACTAACCGCTTCGGAAAGCCGAATGATTTTATTTAAGTTACAGACGTAACTTTAGGATTCCGTCGGTAACTTATGCCCAGATCAAACAACATTTTGTTATTCATTCATTAATATTATTTTCTTCTGCGAATATGAGGAAGGAACATATCCTTTCTGCACAAAACCTAACTCGGCCGAAATGAACCTTCTTCCTATTATAGAGAACAAAACTGTTTTTTCAAATAGTCTAACCTAACAAGGCCCAAGTGAACCTTCTTTCTATAAAGTATATTTTGCGGAAAACTTCTTGAGATTTCTTGAATTAAAAAAATAAACTTGATCTCGCGAGGACTGAACTCGAGCCCTTTAGTTGTGGCAGACCGACGCTTAGCTCACTGTGGCACGGCCTCACTTATGCATCTCACCCACTACCAGCAAACACCGACAGGCTCGTTACCAATCGTTAAGTCACATACATAAACTGAAAATTACGTCGGTAACTTATTATTACGTGTTCGGCTTCGCTCGGAAATCCGATTGTCGTTTTGTGTCTGTATCATATGAATATGCGGGCCGGGCAGTCCAGCCGAATCTATCCGAGAGAAAAATGACGTGTGTCACGTGACCATATTACGAGCACAGCGACCAGCCTACGGCGTAGGCGGGGAGGGACGGGGCCGGTCTCATACGTCCGCAGTCCTCGAGCTCACGCTCGGCGTTCGGCTGTGTATCACCACCTTGTGCCCGTTCCGCTCGACGAGCACCGCGGTCTGCCTCCCACCCATCTCCGCGTCCCCCTCCCCTTCGTCCGACTGGTCCGCGCCTGCGCCGTCGCGGCTCTTTTTGTGCTTGCGCCACGCGTTCTGGATGAGCCGCGCGCAGTACTCTTCGCGCTGCCTCCAGAGCGTCGAGCTCACCGGCTCGTAGCCCACCTCGTTGGGCCGCCCCTGGACCTCGGCCAGCTCGGCGGTCTCTTCTATGGCGTTGCCCTTGCGGGCGAAGAAGTCCTTCGTGAGCGCGTCGAGAATGTCCACACAAAACATGAGGTCACCCTTGCAGATGGGGATGTCCATCGACACTATTTTGTATTTGTTGGGTTTGTGGATTTGCAGGGGCGGCTCGAGCACGTCGAGGAAGTCCGACAGCTGGTCGTAGCGGATGTACTGGGTGCCGTCTGGGTCGAACTGCTGCCAGATCTCGTAGTACATGTCGTAGTCGTCGTCGGTGAGACCTTCTTGCACGTCCTCCGTCGCCTGAGAGTAGTTCTCGAGGATGACGGCGATGTACATGTTTATCACTATGAGGAATGAGATGACGAGGTAGCTCAGCAGGAATGCTATGCCTATCGTCGAATTCCCGCAGTTACCCGTTTCTCCTATTTCGTTGTCTGGTTGCTTGCAGTCTTCCTCGTTGATGATTCCGTCCAGAACTCCATCCCAACCAGCAGAAGTGGACATCTGGTAACGAACAGTCTCCATCAGTATCAAGACAAATTATCAATAATAAGTTGTGAGGTTACGTGAAACCTGCTTGTCCCAGATATACACACGTGCTATGATTTCAGTGGGCCTGATGAAATTCTTTCCTCAACATCAATTTTGATAAATAAATTCAAAAATTTGTGAATATATTCAAAGTTTCTGAAGTGAGTAGCTCGAAAACAATACTTCTTTGTATTTTGAAGGTATGAAGGAGATATATTTGTTCACATGGAGGAAAATACATAGACTACACTTGCCCCTTGAAAATAACGTATAGGGAAAAGTGTAACTACGTGTAACCTATGTTAGGTTCCACTTGCCCATGTTGAATCGTGCATTAAATATTCGTGACCTTCGAATGCAAAGTCAATAAATTTCTTCCAGAAATGGTGCGTAACTACGTACGGAAGAAGGAGCCACTGGAATACTCAAAGGACAGTCTCACGTGCCATATCCATGGGGCAACTGTAACTGAGAATGACCCATTATTATCATTATTATTTTCAGTTTATAGCGGAGCTATTGAAATTCGCGGTTCCCCTTACCCCGGTGTACTTACCCATAAATCTCCCTTTTTCAACATTTTTTCAAATATTCATACTGACTGTTCGTAAGACATTCCTTTCCCAGATAACACCAACCATCGGCCCAGCATTTGTAACGCAGATCGGTGTTATCTGGGTATTTCTAAGAGTGAAATTTTCTCAACATATTTGTGACATTTTGGAACAATCCAACTGATTTGCTTTTACTACGAATATATTGAAATCATAGCCATATTTTTCATAAGAACGAGGAACAAATAAAAAAAATCTACAGAAATGGCATCGATCCATCAAGACCTTGACTAACTAAAAATCAATCGAGAGCGAAGTTATACTCGCCGTTTGGATCACACACACCTCAATCAGAAAGAAAGCAAAAACAGTAAATCTACATTTTCAAAATGATTGTTTTCCACTCAGTCTCTGGAGAACACTCATTGACCTATTAATTAACTAAAATTGCCTGCTAAAACCAACATCTTTTCCCGTAATGAAAGTCGTTTTAATCAGCATACATATTTGATATAAAAAGATCCTTATGCCTTGATTATAGTGTTATTAGAATGGAGTTTTGGTGGGTGGCATAATTAAATATAAAAATAAACCGGAAATACCACAATAATATTCAAAAAAGCCTGAATATGTATTTTGACAACTAAGTCCCATCCACAGTAGATTTGAGAATAAAATAAAGATTAGCTCTCTTTCAGAATATTCTCCAGAAATTACTAGCGATTCTACTTCAATAAACATAGGTACCTAGTGTTAAAGTGAATCAAAAAGTTTGGAACTAGAGGTAGAACCTTTTTGGTTCATTAACTGATTTAATTCCCTATTTTCCATTTCATGTTCAAGAATTCTCAAATAATCTAAAGAGATAGGGTGAGTTGTTACAAGAATATGTTGGGCGACACTGGATGTATCATACCGATTCAATCTGGACTAAGCAACATGTTCTTCAAATCTATTACATTCATTTCAAGTTATTTCATAAATACCTGTCTGGTATATTTGGAAGCTATTGGCACTGGAGATAGCTTCCCGTCGCTTTGATAGAAATCAACTCTTTATATTTTTCTGTCAAGTTGAGCAAAATGTCACGAAAATATTGGTGCAATACATCACCCACTGTACTAAAAGTATGTATATTTGGGACACTCTGTCCTATTACCTGAAATAGAAGAATCATGGACTGTCCGAAGGTTTTGAAATTGTAGACATCATCAAGGCCACTCTTGTCCTTGACGTGCATGAAGAACGACATCCCGAAGATGGCGAAGATGAACATGACCAGAAAGAGTAGCAGACAGATGTTGAACAGCGCAGGCAGTGACATGGCTAGTGCGAAAAGCAAGGTGCGGATCCCTTTCGCTCCTTTGACTAATCGAAGAACTCTGCCCACTTTCGCTACTCGCACAACCCTCAGTAAGGTGGGCGACACGAAATATTTTTCGATTATATCACTGAGCACCAGTCCCAAAATAGACAGTATGACGACCACTAAATCGAAGAGATTCCATGGTTCCGTAAAATAGTGGTAACGCAAAGCGAAAACTTTCATGAGGCACTCTGTACTAAATATAACTATGAAAATCATATTGAGGTAGTCCAAAACTTTCGTGAACGCTTCTTTCTGCTGGTAGTGATCCATCGTCATCGTCAGCATGTTCAGACCGATGAATAACATGATGATCATGTCGAACTTCTTGTTCGTCACGATCTCGAATACTATCGCTTGAGGTCTCCACTGGAACAGAAAAAAAAATACTCCTCATATGCTACAGCACGAGGCAGAGCTGGGCAAATACTTGGAAAAATAAATTGAATTCCTGAATGCATAAGAAAGGTCAAGAAGCATTTCAATAGCAAATATGAAAGTATTCGAATAGCTCACATTAAATAATCAAATATTTTCGAAGTATTCAATGGGAAATACTTGACCAGCTCTGGCATGAAGGATATCCAGTCAATGATTCTTACCCTTGGCCTAGGTATGGCTTTCATTGGCTTTTTCGAGCCCATCTTCTTCATCGCATTGTAGTATTTCTTTTGGTCCTCAGTCATGAACATCTCCAGTGATCCTCCTGCTTATAATAGGTTTCGATTATTATTTTTGAACATATGAGAATAAAGTGGAATGATTTGAGAAGTATTGCATAGATTGAAATATCGATTGAAATACAAACTATAGAGATACTTATCTTCTTCTTTTGTTCATTGAAGTTGTCAATAATTACTCCTATAAACAGATTCAAGGTGAAGAACGATCCAAAAATGATGAAAAATACAAAATAAAGATACATGTAGATGTTGGTTTCTCTTATAGGCTGCTTGTTCATCTGAAAGGAAATATATAATGAATTCTCTTTATCAATTCCAGGTTCAAGATGAACTCACTTCTCTGGAGTCGATCGCATCATTCATGATCTGTATCCAACCCTTGAACGTTGCAACTTGGAACAAGCAAAGATATGCTTTACCAACATGATCGAAATTCATCGGAGAATTGTCCCACGAATAGTTTTCGGCTATGCATGCATTGAAATCTGGAATTATTTCATAGCTGAGAGTGCTCTTGTTGCCATCCACGCACTGAAACGCATACAAAGTGAGTATTGCAAAAGTTTGTGTATATTTACGAACGGTTTACCTTGTAGTATTTGCCCGCAAATAACTGTACGCCCATTATAGCAAATATCAACCAAAATATTAAGCACACTAGCAATACATTGAAGATAGAGGGTATAGCTTGTACCAGGGCATTTACTACAACCTATGGAATAAACAGTTATGTAACGGATGTCCAACTCGCTTTCATTCACTTACCCTCATGCCTTGCATACGAGACATGGCACGCAGAGGCCTCAGAGCTCTCAGCGTTCTCATCGTCTTGAATGCTTGAATACCACCAGCGCCACACAATGATGCAACGAAATTAATCAGCGACACCATGACAATTATGAAATCTAGCCAGCACCATGCGTTAGTGAAGTACTTTTGGAAACCTAACGCCAACCATTTTATCAACATTTCGAAGAAAAATATCACCGTAAATATCCTATCCATGTAGTACAAAATATCTTGCAGTATCGGCCTCGATTGTAAATGGACATCTTCTAACGCTAGCGCCAAACTGCTGAGCAAAATCATTGTTATGACTGCCGTTTCGAAATACTTGTTCTCGATGAGACGAAACGTTTTGAATCTCAGATTGGCCCAACCTTGCCAAAAAGGAGAGTCGTCATCTCCCGCCAGAAACGGAAATTTCTTGTAGCACTTTTCTGGAAAGCAGTCCGCGGAATATTCATCTATTATAATGTCTTCAGTTGCTGCATCTATTATGAGGTCTTCGTCTAGCGGACCTTGACAGTCGCATTCGTCTTCCTCCATTTCTGAAAAAGTGAATGTTTGTCATTGTGTCATCTGCAATTGTTTTTTTATTATGACAGATTAAAGAAATAATTTTATTTGGTTACCTTCGTCTATGCCTAATTCCTCTTTACTGGCATCACGTTTTTCTTCATGTTCATCCAGAATATCGGCACTACCTTTATGACTTTCATCTTTGAACCTGTGTTTATGACTACCATAGGATTTATTACTAATCTCGTCATCGTCCAAATGTCCTAGAAAATCTCCATGGTCTAGAATAGAGTTTCCAATAGTCTTGCTCTTATTGATGTTATTGAGGTTTTTGCCACGTTTCAGATTCGTTTTTGAATCGCCGTGTATCGTGAACTCCATACCATCACCTATCGTTACTTCTAGTCTATCTTTTGGGCTCTTTTTATCTTTGAAAATCATACCGTCTGCTAGTATTTCATCACCTGTCAAGTCTAAGCCTCCATCTCTCGGATCTGTAAAGTTTTTATCGATAACTTATAACTCAAAGCTGAAATTACAGCTGGGTCCAAACAATTTGATACAAATGGGATCGTCGATATTATCCACAACAGACCTTAAATGAGGTCCCGACCAAGGCGAAACAAATAACTTAATGGAAAACTCCATAATCCCGAGGGACAAGAAAGAATGAGGTGGTACAGCTGATACAAACAGAGGGGATTTCTTGATTATAGAAAAACATGAAAGTTTGTCAAAGAGACCAAGTATCGCCAGTTTCGGTGTACGTTCCATTTGTTTCAAACTTAGGAGATAACGCTGTACATGTGATATACTGACATTGTAATATTTAACAGTTGGAATAGTATTCAGTTTTTTCCTAAAACCATGCATTGAATGCTAACCATCTAACTAAACGAAAATTTGAAACTTAAACTTGTCTTCTACGTGTATACATGATTAAAAAAAAAATAAAGGTCGAATAATATCAAATTTTTTCAACTAATAGTTTCCGGAACATTAAGTATTTCATGTGAAATATTCTACAGGTCCATGTGCGAACAGTATAACAGATAATTTTGACTAATCAACATGCTGAAGTATAAGTGTAAGCACTAAGTTGGAGCGACAAGCACAAATCCATTAGCGAGCTATTCAGATTGTTGGATAAAAACCTTGGTTCCAACTGTTGGAGGGTCCCTCACCTGACGGCTGGTCGGATATTTGATTTGTTAATTTGAACCTAATCAATTTTGCGATGTGAGCGACACTAGCCTTGATCCATTTGATAAAACGCCCTATTCTGTTGAAAGCCTCTGCAATTTTGTTCGTATCATTGTCAGCTGCCGGAGCAGACAAACTTGAGGAACCGAAGTTGCTCAAAAGCAGGGCCAAGAAGAGATTCAGCACCTAAAAAATATACAGTACAGGGGCACCACTCAGATATACTACAGTAGGTTTTCTCTGATACATCAATGAGTTCAGTGACAATGAAAATGAACAATAAAAATTGTCAATTCACAGGAGCGATGGGGTTATTAAAAACATTATTCTTATAGGATCAGATGATGAAAGGAATGTGTATACTTACCACAAGATTACCAATAACAACAGTAGCTAAGAAAAATGGAATACATGAAACATCACCAACAAGCATACAATCCCACATAGACTCAATCCATTCTCCACACAGCACTCTGAATACTATCATAAATGAATGCATGAAGTCGGTAAAATTCCACCTTGGAAGTTCATGATCTGGAAATTTATCAACGTTGTCTGAAAACAAAAATGGGTTGGAGATCGATCTGTGCCAATATTGAAATTTAGTACCTGTATAATTTTTGCCAAATAACTGCATACCCATAACGGCAAATATGAATATAATAATGCACAGCACAAATGTCAGGTTACCTAAAGCACCCATAGTTCTACCCATTATAGAAATAAGTAAGTTTAACGTTGGCCAAGACTTGGCCAATTTGAACACTCTTAGCTGAAAAAAGTAATACATATTATCTGCTCATAGTCTCATCAGCACTGACTTACCAGTCTGAATGATCTCAAAACGGATAAACCTTGAACCCCTTCGAGACCCAACTCAAGTAACGATAAGGCTACGATAATGAAATCAAATATGTTCCATCCCTCTTGAAAATAAAATTTTGGGCTCATCGCTATCAGCTTCATAGTTGCTTCAATCATAAACGTTGCCGTGAAAAACTAAAAGAGATAACGATGTGAGGATGGAAGAAAAAACAACATGAGGACATCAAGAGACTAAAAAATTTGTTTCATTTGTTACTCACATAATTTCCACTCTTCAATGCTTTGTCCAGATCCTTATCCATGTTGTGATGATCCAGTGCCATGAACAGAGTGTTGACCACGATGCATAGGGTGATGAAGAGTTCCACGAACGGATCGAATACAATAAGGGCTACAAATTTTTGGAAAGCCAACCATGTCTCACAACAGTCCCACACACAGAACACATCGATGACCCTCAATATGAAAACCAATAATCTTTCTTTCATCGTCGGTTCCTCCTCATCATCATTATTTTGGGCTGAGAAATAATAAACGGAAACTGTACGAAGAATTAGTATAAGTGAAGTTGACACACTCTTTTTTGGGGAAAGAGGTTTTGTGCGGTATGCGATAGTGCGACAGCAGTTCTTAGTTAAGTTTTGACTGGTCTTGTCGGTTTTCAGCACACTAAGTAGTCATAAGGTATTCTAAAAATAATGTCAACAAAAGAGAGTTTCACGAAAAGTCATGATCTACTTTGAACGTTGAACAAAGAATCACTAATATACCGTAAACCGGGGTAACTTTGTGATCTGGGTATTTCTTTGGGACATCTGGTATTTTTATAATACTGTCACATTCAAAAAATATTTGAGCAGTGAATATGGCAACTTTTGGTATTCAGTCTTGTTCATAAGAAGATGATAGGTAATAAAAATGAGTTTGGCAACATTGCATTCGTTCTGTCAGAAACAGTGCATATTTGAATAAAACGGGTCTCGACACACGTTTTTTAAAGATCTGCAAACTAGGTATTGTGCAGCCGAAACAATTGAATCCACGTTATTTCTGGTGAGTACATCTTATATATTTATGTTTTGGCTATGTTTTGACAATATAGCAAAACAAATCATCAACACTAAAAAAATATCATCTTTGTTTACATAAAAAATTGTAACATGTGGAGGTAACTTTGTTACATGTACCAAAGTTAGACAGCAGACGTCTGTTGTGGAATCTAATGTATAGAACGTTGTGTACCAAAGTTGCACGTTTTCCAAAGTCCAAGTTTTCTACAACCGTTGTTTTTCTCTTTCAGGAGTAATAATGCCTCGCAAGCAAACCCGCGAAATAATTCGTCTAAAGCATGTACATCTCTTATGATTTGCGGAAATGCCGAGGGTCAGCTTGCTCCGGTATACGTCAATTACAAAGCTCAAAGGTTATGGTCAACCTGGACGGAAGATGGTCCATCGAATGCCCGTTATAACCGAACCAGTAGCGGGTGGTTTGACTATCAAGTATTTGAGGATTGGTTTATTAATCTGATGCTCCCATCAATTCTCAAAAGAAAAGAGGGGCGTAAAATTTTAATTGGGGACAACCTTAGTTACAACCCCGAACTGTCCGATGATGATGTCAGTGTAGAACCAGTCAAGGAACCTGCATCTTCCATGAATACAAGAAAAATTGGAAATTACGTTTTGGTTACTTATGATGAGAAATATAATCCCGGACAGATCACGGAAATTCATAATCTTGGAGCAATTGTGAATGTTATGACATCCTATGAAAAGCAATGGAAATGGCCAACTCACAAAGACGAGATATTTTATAGCAATAAAGAAATAATAATGCCTATAAAAACACCTGAACGTCGTGGTCATCGAGAAGTTTTCGATGTTCCAGAATTGAAAGATGTGGTCTAAAATTTGCATTTCGAAACGAATAATATTATGTTTTTTCATCATTATCTAGCGATTAAAGCTTCTTGAGAAATTTTGAAGTTTTTTTTGAAGTTTTTTTCCCTAATACATATAAAAAAAATGCGAAAATATATTTTATGCTTGCTATTTCATTCTTATTCGATTTGCAATGTCTATCTTTGGAACACAGGCCCATAACTTCGAAATATTCGTCTGAAAAGCCAGTGTACCAAAGTTACCCCAACTGACGGGGTAAGATTGTGACACTTTCAAGGCCAATTATATCAAAGTACGATATGAATAAATTATGTTTCCGACCCAATGCATACTTGGGAATGTTGGTACATTGATATTCAGTGCTTAAAACCCAGTTATTTGTGCAAGATCAAGTTTTATTCAAGAAAAACATGAAAAATCGAACCAAAGTTACCCCGGTTTACGGTAATCGATTTGTGCAAGAATTCATTCAAATTAAGGGATAGCAGCTTCAGAATCAGCTGATCAAAATCTGTTAATTATTTGAATTCGAGAACGTACAGTAATTGATCTTAGTTGAATTTGTGTTCAAATATTATATGTTAACTGTCTCTATCAACGTTTTTATTTATACACATTGAATTCTACATAAATTTCAAAATAAATGGAGTTCAATCGGTCTGACGACACAAGCCAGTCCGCATCGCATCTTGCATACCAGTCGGAGTTTTTGGTCTGTTTTCTTTTTGCAGAGTCGTGATTATGATACAATATTGTGTTGATATAGTAGTGCAATTTTAGAGAGCGGTATCAGAGTGCCAATTTTCAGAATTTACCATGAGTTGATTATACGATGGTGTATGATTTCATGGCCTCATATTCAAATTAGGCATTCTAAGACAAGCGAAGTGAGTTCAGGATCGGAAGCAGTGAATTTATAACGAATTCATAATGGCTGAGATTCTCACTACTAACTGTTCGTTAATAAACTAGGTACCTACCTGTTCTAGTTACAGTGAGAACACAAGAATAAACACTGACTGAATTAAAGCTACGCAAGTTTGGGCTGGCTTGTGACGACACGTCATTAGTCTCCTCGGAATCAGGTACATTTTCTTAGCCTCACTTTCAGTTTCATCAAAAAATCGAAGACGGCATTCTCAGAATATTCTGATCATAGGAATATGTTTATATAAATCTACTGATTTTACCCGAAACTGAAAATTATTAGTGAAACTGCCTATTCATACTGGTACAGTATATTTATATTCGAAAGTCGATTGTTGGCAGAATACTAATTCGTATCTATTTTCAGGATACCCTAGAGCTCTCCTGTGGTGCACAGGACTGTTCATTGAAAATTGTAATTTATCATCGAATATTTTTTCAACAGTCGTATGCATTGGTTTCAGCACCAATTTAGAAATCGTATATAGTATTTAAGCTAGAAGCAGAAATATTTGACACCATCGAAAATTGCATTCGGTTGAGAACATTTAAAGCGTATCCAGTGTAAAGTTTACTGGGAGCTACATACTACAAAACACTTCAGCCTGAGGAAGAATTAGGTATATGATGAACGTAGCAATAAGTTTCTACTCAGCATATAATAATTCTAAAACTATTGGCTTTGGAGGAAAGGGTTCTATCTTAGACTAGATGAATCGAATATTACATGTTCCTATTTGATATATGCCAAGCAAACGGACACAATAATATTATCCAGTTGACGAGTAGGTTTTGAATCAGATCAACGGAATGGAAGATTATCAGACGAAAAATACAATTGTGGTAATGAGTCACAAAACAAAGTCGTGTCCATTGCTATTGGATGTTAGATGATGACTAAATTGCCTAACACCAAACAGAGACTTGATGACATTTGATATACACCCTGTACATTATTGGAATGACTATTCCATTAATCAGTTATACACATGCATTGCAACATTAGTTCAGAATTCTTGAGGTATGACCTCATACTGTGAATATGTATGGCATGGCCACGTACAAAATATTTCATCCGAGTAGTATTCAGAGTATGTCATTTGATTGATCTATGAAAGAGTCATATGATGATTGAATGGAGATCTTACAGGGAGTCGCAGTCTCCTTCTACTGATGCCTTCTCTTAGTTTCTTTCACCAACAGTAATTCAGTAGAGTATTTGAGTGAGTATCAATTGTTGTTCAATAATGAATAATCATGTCAAAGTGTACAAAGGATCATTAAACATCATCACCTTATCTCTATTTGCTTTCGAGCAACAACCCTACCAAATTTGGTGCTCCAATACAATGGTAAAGTGCCAAATTCATCAAAAATGTATTTTATTTACCTAATGAAATACTTCTTGTTAATTTTTCCTCCACACAGTGAAAATTGTAGTAAATAAACATATATTAGTTATATTGTCCTAGCAACACATGATAGATAAATGGGTGCAGTTGCTAGCCAATAGTACTAGTCTAGCAAATTGCGATGGTGTATAGGAGTTGTGTAGGATGTTATATGTTTGGAGTTAGTAGGAATGGCAACTTACCGCCATGATCGCTAGCACTTTGCCTGCCTGCTGCTTGCTCGATGATATCATTCAAAACCATAACATCTGGAAAAAACATCTTATTCATAAGTACGCACCGAGTATATGTCCATCTTGCATTACCTTTCATGTCTACCAATGTTTGTCTTTGATTACTATCGATAAACGGATTGTCTAGATGTTTCAACTTCCCTTCGCACGTTTGACCGGTGGGACCATCCTGCGGAAGATAACCCGGTTCAACACTCCAGGGTAAAAATGCAACTGAACTCAGACTTACATAGTCGCCACGATGAGGTGGTCTGGTAGTGCACTCTGTGTAATTACTGTTCGGAGCTGCGGGTCCGTTCCTCATCGACCGAGATCTCAGTTGGCTCTCCTTCGTCATCACTTTCCCATTCCCTCCCAGACCACCTAACAAATCTCCGTGAGAGGTGTAGGACATTCGAGAAGCGTGCGAGGTGTATGAGGAATGACGTGAACCTGCACGGGTATTTTCAAAAATTCGAACACTTAGTATTCCACCCCATAGTTCTAACAATGTCAAATTCTAGGGGAATAGTTGGCGCTTGGAGTTGAAATTTAGTGAACAACACAACAAGAAGGCGAACCCTTCTTCATAAGCCAACTTAAAGTATTTGATGATTATTTCCAGAATCAACAAAAATGGAAGACCGTTAGTGAAATCCCGGGATAAACGCAACTGCCCCACTGTCGTGTGGAACTGATCTTCACTGCAGAGGAAGTCAGTAGCAGGTAAGTATAGACATTCATTAAGTTAGTAATTTTTGATACGAAAGCCTACCCAGAATCAGTTTGATCAGTTTATTTTCGTGTTTTCAGAGTTGTCATAATAATCTTTCTATTCAGCGACCTCTGAAGATGAGTGTATCTGTTGTGTTTTTCACATCATTTCGAAGTAATCGCTTAGTATAACAATGTTGTTTACTTCGGCTTATTCTTTTACGTAGATAGGAATAAAAGCTGTTTTTTCTAGATTTATTTACGCACCAAGAGAATGAGACATTATATATATTATTGGATATTCAAATGGATAGTCAAACGGGTCGCAACTTGTTTGTTGTTCACTGAATTCGGTATTAATCATCTCAAATAACTAACTGATGGCTTTCTGCTATAGTTTTTATAATGAATTCAGTGATCCAGATTCTTATTCACATAAATAGCAGAAGTGCAACTTATTTTACATACACTGTCCCAGGAGCTGATACAAATAATTCAGGAGTGACAGAAAAGGTCAAAATGGTGCCAGTATACATTTTTCCATACAAATCATACTTGACACATAAGAACCTACCTCTGAATTATCAATATGGGGTCCTAGGATACTCAATACGATTACTGTTTTGGGTAGCATATTATGTTCAAGATAAATATAAACGTATTTGAACAGGAATAAGAAATAGGATTTGATATTTCCTGACTGACTTGGAGGCATCAAATAAGTTCTTGATGCCTAGGTACTGTCTTGACAGAAATCTTGCGTTTCATCTTGGTTGAGATGACTGAAATTTTGCAAAGAATACCACAGAATGTACTCTAACTTTGGTAAAAGTATCTTCAAACTACGGGTGTATTACATTTCTTTGAATTAAAAATTTTTTTAGATTAAAATCTGTGCTCAAGGTTTTAAAACTATCTAGGAGTTCGGAATGGTTTCAATTAGTAGGTACCCTTGAAGATAGCCTGTACTCCCGAGTGAATCAAGAATTTTCTGTATTTAATATCGTTTGCTGTAAGTGGTGATACGTACCGAGGTTGGCATAGTAAATGGGTAGGACCATTGCTCCATTTTCTTCGCTCATGGGTGTCACGGCAGTCGAATCATCGGCATAAGGCAGATGTTCTTGTGCGTCTAGATATGTCGACAAGACCAAGGGTTTGCGGTCACCAGGTGGCGCTACTAAGCGTCGGTTACTACGCATACACGTGAACTGATGGCTACCCCTCGATCCACGCCGAAGATTGAAAGGGGATCCAGGTAGGCTGAGACTTGCCTGAACACGGGACATTCTCTATTCATGCATGATGTGTAATGTTAAAAGTAACTAGGTAAAAGAGTTGGCTATGCGGTTGGAGTCAAGTGTCATTGCAGAGATGAATGAAAAGATATGGTTCGTCAATTGTCAACTTTTTCTTCAGACTGATACCTACTTGATACGAAGATATTGGAAATGAGGCTTCCTGATTTGTTAGTAAGAGTGTTAGTTCGTTTTTAACCACATATCGGTATTGTTGCCTATAAATATGGTTAGTAACTAGTTAACTACACCATATTGTTTTCATCTACCTCTGACAGAGCTGCATACTTTACTGATTAGAATTGCCAGAAATGTTCGTAGTAGACGAATTGAAAACACATCGTTTTACAATTTGACAACAAAGGAGTTTTATGCCTCTATGCTGACAACGCCAGGCGTAACGTTATGGGATTTATTGAAAAGTGATATTATTTTATTCTGGCAACTCGTTCAAAATGGCTTGAGGATGTGTTTGTGTCATGTTGCTGAGTGGCACAGTGTGAGCAAAATAAATATACCTAACCTCCAGCTGAATCAAAAGTTGCAAAAAATGAAAAATGTTATAAATTGACAGCTTCAACTAAAATTAAAGTGCATAACAATAATTGTTTAACATTGATAATCAAGGTCAAACAAATGGAGTCATAACACTATAATTGTCATGATTTTTATTTTCATTTATTTGATTTGTATGAAACTTCTCACATCTGATTTTTTGTACCATCAAAGCTGGTGACTCAAAGACCCTTTTTTTGAGGAACAGGCAGTAACATCCTTGTATATTAATTTAAGCTGTGATAACAGATCCTTCATATACCTACCGTTTTGAAATTTCAAATTATTGATGCACGTACCATGATATATGAGATGAGAACATCGGTAATTTCAGATTATATAAATATATTGTCCTATATTTTCTTGAAACTAAGTTGTTACACTGTTTGGTTTTCCAAGTCCGATTATCTTCATGTCTCTATTGTTTCTGAATGACTCAAGGAAATTGATTTTCTGAATTTTGCTTTAACTAGGCGCTAACTGCGATTGAGTTTTTTAAAATAACAAATCTACCATTTTGTTGATAACAATTCTGAAGTTACCTAGACTCTATGTAGGTGTACTTGAATATGGATGTAATAGTAATCGTGTTCATTATCAATCGCAGTGTGCCTTCAAATAATAGCAAAATATCCCCTAGATACAGCTAGTTTACACGTCTCAAAAATGTCATTCAATTCTTTCAAAAACAATGAGGTTGTTGGAACGAAACACACTGTCTATTATGGTTCATTTTTGTCTTTTCAACCGTATCAGTGGACGGTTGTGTATTCTTTCGAAAATGAAAACTGTGAATTCCTGTTGAATGTTAAAACTGCCGTTTCTCACGTTTCATTATGAAGCTTTAAATTGAAAGATATCTGAAAACTAGCAATACAGGAGCTTTGATTCTACTATACTAATCTATAAGATCTGAATATCTCTAAACAGCTCAAAAGCTGGACAAGGTTAAATTCATTTTCGGACAGCTACTCCGGGTCACCATGTTACTAGGGTTCACAAAAGTGTCAGGATCAGGTAGGTCCTAGTTTGAATTCAGTTATCAATCTGTGGATTACCTAACTATTTGCTATCATGAGACTAGCTTGAAACTGCCTTCAAGACGTCACACAAAGTGAAACTCAAGAGTGATAAAAGACAACAAAGGGGCAGACAGACTAGGAGGAGAGGATCTAACGAAGCATTTACCGACGTAAAAGCAAATGCCACTTTTCTTGGAATTATCGCTGAGTAGACCTTACAACATCAGTTATATTGAAGTCATTTGGGAGGTTACAGAAACAACAAGATGATGATGATCAAAAACTAACAAAACTTGAAAAAATATATGCATTTGAGACATTCTGAAATTCTTTCCATCGACTTATAGAGATCCATAACTACAGTAGGAGATCCTATAGCGATTGACTCCTCATAAGTAAAAGGCAAAATGTTGGGTTGCCAATCCGTACTTTAGGCTCTTTCAGTCCGATGTACGGTCCGAACTGCTGACTGTAACCAAGAAGTAGGCTCCTCTCTGGGTCGTTCAGTTATAGTCTCATTTCATGAAGATTTTATTAATAATGTGATAGCGTCACATTCCTACCGCGGTTACTGCAATAAGAAACGTTTAAAATTCAGAGTGTTTGAGTTAAGCTGGAAAAAAATATGCGATCAAGAGGGGTAGGTGAACGAACATACTGGTTAGGGATCGAGATAACCCGAGTAGCTTTCCGAAAAGGCCTTCAAGCCCAAGCTTCAGCGTCACCCCAGATGATGGTATCTAACTTCTCGACCGGGGCTCAATAAATATCAGGACACTTACAGCGCTGACCTTCCGCATCTTGGTGGGATTAGAAGGCATTCTTCGCTGCTCACTCACTGAATCTAGTCCGTCTGAACGAATGCTCATCTTCTCCTTGTTGTTGTCGTCGTGGCCTTTGGCCTGGCCGATGAACAGCTCGAAGCTGTGGCAGGAGAAGTCGGAGGGAGACTTGACGATGTCGGGGCAAGCGTCGGCGGCCAGCGCTGCCGCAGCTTCGGTTTCGCGAGCTTCGGCAGCTGCCGCTCTCGCGTCTGCTCGATCTTGTTTCGCCTGCGCTGCCTTCTCTGCTTCCTGAAGAATATAGATAGGTTGAGAGTGTGTATTGGTGTACGCATCAATAAGAGTGTGCAAAGCTGGAACTGCATGAAAATCGCCATCTCTTCGCGTTTTGTATCATTACTAACGAGGAAACTGATAAACAACCTTGGTATCTCAGAGAGGATGCATGTTTATACGTTAATAAGAACTTTTCATTTCAAAATTAGGTAAAGGATACGTATACGAAGTTTGTTGGTTTTATCCTGTATCACCCTGTAGATGGGGCAAGAGTGTATCTTAGAGTGCGCGGATGGATAAACGTGTGCACAGCTGAAATTGCATCAATCGAATTTCATATTATCACTAAATCACTATGTATTAAGAAAACTAATAAACATCCTTGTACCACTGCCGAAGATACGTTAATATATCCCTGTGTCAATAATCCTTCAATGAAACATGTTGAGGCCATTCATGTTATTTCTGTAGGTCCACTCTCCATTTTTTCAGTAGGCACGTTGTGGCGATTTAATATTCTTTTGATAGATAGAACTTTCTCAAATCCATTAGAATTGCTCGTCGAACGCAAAATAGTTAGTGGACGTTCATAGAAATTGTTTTCAAGACTACAGCCCACTGCATGTATACTCCTGATGATTCTGATTCAATGAATTCAGAACGGTTCAACACAAAAAAAAACTGAGAATTGACGAATCCTTTCATGATATTATTATGTGGTTATTCAATTCAAGGCTGAACCAAATGGGGAGGGGGTACGATTGAAGTTACCCTAACTTTCTTGCATTTATCTTGTTTGAGGTTTCGATACCAACTTATGAAATTCTAGAGTGTTTTCCTTCAAAGGGATTCCGTCAGACCGGGCTGGCCGTTTTCTTAAAATATCTCTTTGAACATGGAACTATACTTTCCATGAAACCATAAATTGTCCTGCCCGGGTAAATTCGAACGTATGGTAACCCTACATCAGTTGAAGCATGGTATGTTTCTTACCCTGATTGCTTCTTCTTCAGCAGCTTCCTCTTCTTCCGCTTTCTTTTGTAGTTCGTCGTAAGACATTGCAACAATAGCCAAGATCAAATTAACCAAATAGAATGATCCCAAAAATATGATAACGATGAAAAATAACATGTGCCATGGCCCTGCTGATCTCAAAACCTGAAAGAATTGGATTAGCGAGTAGGTAATAGGAGGGTAATTTTAAACCAAGGTACAGAAGACGTCTTTCTGAGCCGAGCTGTATTACTTTCCGAGATGCAAATAAGCAAGCGATGCCAGAATAGACTTCTGTACTGTGGTTTACGTATATATATATAATTTTTTCCACTACTAGCACATATTGAGATCTGATACAAAAATATTTCATGACGGTCACAGTCTAAAATATTATGACAGAAATCAAATAATTAGGAGTCGATATTCGTGACATTTTGACTAGAAAAAATTTGCTACACTTACCTACTTGCAACAATGTAAGAACGTTAGAATGTGAATAGAATACAACTGGACATTACTCAGTCAAAATGCATCAGATATGAGAAATTTGAGTTATTTTGATCTTTTCAAAGTTTCATCTCTATCCATTCAACAGTTAAGTGGCCTTCCAGCATACGAAAAAATCATTATTTTGTCTACTGGTAGGAGCGAAGACTTTATCATTGAGAATGAAAACCGAAGCTAGTAGTGAAAGAACATGAAGGCTTTTGGAGTATCATCAGAGTGATATTACCTGGAATCTATTCAGACAGGCCAAAGTTCAAGGTAATTTGTATAAATTAATCAGAGAGTGATAGTTACGACTTGGTTCTATCTGATATGAATCCAATTTTTCACTCGAAAAGCCCTACATAATAATTATTTTCTCTGGCACATACATACCAGCTGATATAAATTCTCCCAATAATCCTGAGTCATTAGTCTGAAGGCAGATAGGAAGGCCCAACCGAAAGTATCGAAGCTTGTGTACCCGTAGTTTGGGTTATCGCCGTAACCTTGCAAACAGCGATAACCTGGTTTGCATTGACCAGCTCCTGAGGAATTCCCACACAAAGGCATCTCTCCCTTCTCGTCCACATACCAGTTAGCTGCAAACAGCCGCATGACGTTACCACCGAAAGAAACAAGGCCTTCACGTCACCATTGGTAGGCCTAACAACTGTTCATACGGCAAGCGGCTTTTTTATTTTCTTTTCTTTTTATTTTGTTTATTTTAGCGGTACGCCTATTCAACAGCCAGGCCTATTACATAATGGAAAAATAACAAGTTTGGTTCAAAATCTGTATGGATATTGTATCAAAAAAACAAAATAGAGAAGGAATTATGGGTCTATTGGTTTGCAATCACGACTTATTTTATACAGAGGCGAAAAAAGAACATTTTTTTGAGCGACTGGCAGGTAAAACGTGGTGAAACTATACGTACAGGTACAGGTGGAAGTATTTAACTTAATCCAAGTACAGTAAGCTCTGTGAAATCTGGAGGAACTGTAACAATAGATTTGAAAATTGAATTCTTAACTCCATACATTCCTAAATGTATTTCTGAAAACGGCCATTTTCTCTTGGCCATAACACCGAATGTGCCGCTGTTAGGCCTACCTGAGGTGACGTCACCGCGGATCGTACAGGCCTTATTATATCGGTGGTAATCTGTAGGATCGTATACGGGACGTTGACACAATTTTACACTTACTTTCGTTACCATTGAATCGATCCCAGTTCTCGGCGGTAAGATTCCCCCAGGAGCCGTCCATAGGAAAATTTTTTATACATTTTTGCGTGAGGACCCCCATGTAAATTTGTAAACCCATCAGTGCGAAAACAGAAAGGGAAAACATCGTTAAAATTATCACATCACGGAGATTTTTCACTGATTCTATTACAGCTCCGACGATAGTCTTCAAACCTGCAATGAAAAGGGAGAATTGTGAAACATGGCATAGATTCAATGACCGAAATTTGAATTTGAAGTGCTAACTTACCGGGTACTATGGCAACGGTTTTCAGGGCTCGAAGTACCCTAAACGTTCGTAAGGCAGCAAGATTTCCAAGGTCTACACCCATTGTTACATAACTAGAATTATAGAAATATTGAATATTCACTTCGCTCGAATGATTGGTAAACATTTTTTGCACTAAGAAGCATCTCGAAAATATTTGTTTGAACTAATTTTTCACATCTTACAAGACAACACACTGTACGTTCATAATGCATGATAGAATCTTGCCTATTACTCATTTCGGTACTAGGGAACTACTATATAAGTTCTATAAAAGTCTATCAATAATAGACGTTTCTAAATAGTAGTAAACCTATAACAATTCTAAACTATTATCTAATTATTTTTTTGGTGACTAACATTTCGTTACGTATAATAAGAATTTTCTAAGACGATTCTACATTATTTATTCTACTTTTATCCATGAAGACAACTGTAACAACCACAATTAACTCACTTGAATTTTAAATAGCTTTTACCAAAATTACAAACTGTTGGAGCCAATACAAAATAATACAATACAAAGTGATAATTTCAGAAAACTACAATGGACTCATGACAAGATAATATATTGTTCAAAACCGTTTTTAGGAAACGAAGAAAAAACTCAAATGACTTTTATTATAACTTCTACAGGTTGATCCTACATCTTCTTTCAAAAACCTATTATTAAAAGTTGTAGTTCACCTTGTATAGGGTATAATTATATTCATGAAAAGCATTTTTCAAGAGCTTTCCAGTGATATGTATCATGTATGTGGGATTTTTTTAAGTCATTCAAGTTCTGCCTTCGTATCATAGTGAAAATCTCGACCAATTTCTGAGTATTCATGAGATAATGTCAATGTCCATTCTAATTTTTGAATTGTCACACGATATATCATGATAAAGTTCTAAATTTGATAAAATGACGTAAACGGTTAGAAAGTCATCAAGTAGCAAATAAATGTAATGGTAACTGGTTGAAATGGAAAATTATAACGAATAAACAAACATAAATCGATTTTATATCAACTTAATTGAATCAAGTAGAGTAAAACCCTGTTGGAGAACCCGATTGCAAGAGGTATTGAGTATATTGATAAAATAATAGCCTTTTTCGTTGAAATTTGCATAAAAACTAAATCCGGTTGACCATTTTTTACTTCAATCACCCGTACCCGAGAAATTTACATAATGAAATCAGTTTCAGATTGATACTCAAAAACTAATCAACACATATGAGATTTGTAACCCGACACCTATTGGGAACTCAATCAAGAATAACCTTGAATAGTTTTAGTTTCGTCCGTAACCCGCATTTTAAAATTCGCTTTAAGTTACATTTCATATGGCATTGGAGGTACTAAGAACAAGAAAATCTATGAAAAATTCTGATTAATGAATTGAGTAGTTCTAATGATCAAATCAGAGGTAACGACCTGCGCCAATATGACCTACACATATTATGATTTTTTGTTATTTACTGGTGCAATACATTCTTTTATTGGTGACAGAAAATCCCACTGGAATGACGGTAATGTCGATTTTTAGAAATTGATTTGTCTCCATAATTCGTGTTGGTTTTGGTTTTAGTACTTGTACATGACACTCACTATCCACATCACTGGTGTAGTAGGTGTAGAAGTCTGACATTTCTGAAGCATCTCCATCATATAAACAAAACCCAAAATGTTACACATACTCAGATGACCAATTTGAATATCAGCTTCGTTCCTATTCAAACTACATGAACTTCATCGACGAACGATCAAAATAAAATCATTGTGTTACCAGCTACAATGAAGTGGAATCTACTCTATATTTGTTGAAATGTCTATGGTCTAGAACTAAGCTACTCACGCTAAAGCTATGACTACGAAGTCGAGCCAGTTCCATGCATCTCTAAGGTAGGTGAACGGTTGAAGTATAAAACCTCGCGCCATCACCTTCACAGCTGACTCGAACGTGTAAATTCCAGTGAATATAACTCTGGAAATAATCGAAACATCTTGCTCATAACCCATTCAACGTTGACACCACCAAATCTCAGTTAATTTCGAACGTTGATGATAAGGTCTGGTTCAACAATCGAAGATTCCATAGCAAAATCTTCCTCAGATTCATATACAAATCATTAGCAAAGTCATAATCTGTTCTAGCTCTCCTGAATTATATCCCAATTGATACATGAAGCAATCCAAAGGTTCTAAGACAGGTTTGAAGCACCTATATGGTGCCGACCAACGTTCAAAACGATATGGAAGTTAGTTGGTCTGGATCCCTGGCTATTACTCACTTGCCAGAACCAGTATTTGACATTCCATCTACTAGTTTCTTTCAAATACACTAAATATCTGACTTCTGGTAAACCCTACCATGTGACCGTTTCTATGAGCTTTGAATGTCAGCTTTGAGTCTATGTTGGCTCCGAGTTGAATGGCTGAGATAGTCCATTGAATGTTTCGGTTTCTGATCGTGACATATCCGAAGTAATTCGTCTTGATTTCAATGATTTGTCTGATCAGGATAACTTCCTAAATCTGGATATTGCAGATAGTCAGCATACAGATGAGGCAGAGCGCAATGCCTCTTTTAGATTGGAATATCAAGCCCGTTGGGGACAAACAAACAGTTCTTGGACAGTTGTTAGACATCAGTTAGAGCAGATTTACGTTGTTGAACTCGCCTAAATACTTGTCAGTGTCCATTGACTCATCATTTGCAAAGGCTATGAGGACTTCTGACTTGTTCATCTTCATTCGAAATGGACCAAAGTTTGTTGGTGTTGATGAGGTTTGAATGAGAAATAGATAGAAAATGCAAGACCCATTGAACCAACAATCGTCATTTCAGTTTTTGAGTTATTCTAGTGCAAATAATATTTTCCCAAATACATAGGTCCACATGAAATAAGTGCCAAAATATTGATTCGAAGGATAATATGGTGAATATTTTAAAACAATGTTGTTATCTTCAATCCTTTTAGAATCAGATATGTAATGAGCTGAAAGGAAAAAAAATGTGGTGTACTTGATTCTATAACCACTTGATGATGTTCATCACCATGTTACAGGTCTGTTCTCGTTGTAGAGATATTATTCATCATTTATCTGAAGTTGCATTTCCTATGAGAAGTGAAGTGAAGCATTACTTACTCGGTTGATTCTACGGTGGGAGTTGTAGGCATGATCATGAGGATGCAGTTGACCAGGATGGTGGTAATGATAAAAAGTGAAAAGCAAGAATGTACAAGGATGTAAATAGCCACTCGTCGTATTGGATTGAAGGGGTCGAGTATCCACAGAGCGTTTGTTGCGCTAAACCGAAATATGTCCTTGCCTTTACTTATTACTACAAATGTCTGAAACAAATATTAGTAATTAAAACAAGAATTATTAATTGGCAGGTACACAACTTTCTCCCAGTTTTGCACTTACTACTAATTATAAGGAATATATTTTCGTACCCCAATAGTAATAATCATAAAACTTTATTTCCACTTGGACGAATACATTGTATGGGAATCTTCACTACAAAAAATAAGAAGAAAATGAAGGAAACTTAGATAGATACAGAAAAGAAACCGGTAATGCTTATAAAAAATTCTAACATTGTATAGAAACATGCTTCGAATATAACATACTTTTGAAAAAACTTATCTTATATTTTGAAGATTTAAATATAAAAGATTTCCCATTCGAGATGTGATACCTAGAATAACTCTTGGTAAATATAGGCGTCTCATGAAAAGTGCTCTGATATCGTTTGACATGAATACAACGACTGATGCCAACGGTCAATTTTCAACAGAAACGGAAGAACTTCATAAACGATTCTAAATACTCCTAAAATTTATTATTAGCGAAACACTATTTTGAAAAATTTTTGGAAATCCTATCGGTCCTGAATTTTTGCAATTATTTCGTTTTAAACGAATAGTGATCTCACCATTGGTAATGGTAAAAAAAATCGGTATGCTCTTTCATAAGAGGAATCGATATCCTCTTGGTTGGCGATGTTAGCTCTTGGTTATTGTGAAAGAAATCGATTTCCTCTTTGAAATGGTGATCTCACTGGTGAGCTACGATGAGAGGAATCAATATCCTCTTTTGGTTGGCGATGTTACCTGTTGATTATGGTAGAAGAAATCGATATCCTCTTTTGGTTGGTGATCTTACTGGTAAGTTATCATAAGAGGAATCGATATAATCTTTTATTGGTTGGTGATCTCACCTCTTTTGTAATAGTAAAAGGAATCGATAGCTTTTCTAGATGTTGATCTCACAGTTTGGTTATGATAAGAGGTCTTTGGTTGGTGATCTCACCTCTAGGTTATGGTAAAATGACTTTCTTATCATAAATGCTGGTGTTCCGCAAGGATCAATTCTAGCACCAACACTATTTCTACTCCATATCAGCGATTTGTTGGAAGCAACTCCATGTCCAGTACACAGCTTCGCGGATGATAGTACCCTCCATACCGCCTTCTCTTCCAGGGCTCCAATACCAGCCAGGAAAATCAGAAACGAACGAGGGAGAAATGTTGACAACATAAATATGGACTAAATCCAATAACTTGGTAGATTTCAATACAAACAAAACACGAGCATGTATTTCTCTAGAAAACCCGATCTCACTGTGCCCAACATAAGCTTGTCTGGAGTAACCATACCTTTGAAGACATCCATTTCGATGGTTGGTATTACTACCAGCAATAACCTTTCTTGGGAAAATCACGTGAGATCAATTGAAACTGTTGGATTTGGTCCAAAAATGGGCAATTCGTCTCGTGGGTGATGCCTCGCTCACAAACTCACTCTGGCTCTATTTCATAGATATTTTCATGGACGATGCTCTTCTGAAATATGAACAATTGTTCCTCCCTTGGCAGTCCCCGCGAGATTAACCCGTCGAGTTGAGGCTTCGCACCCCTTCGCGGTCACTTTGGAGACCTGCAGAACATCTCTTTCCAAAGACTCGTTCATCCAACGAACAGCGAGGCTCTGGAATACATTGTCAAGAGAGGTGTTCCCCGAGGCATATAACCTCCAGAAATTTAAGAAGAACACCAATTCCTACCTTATTTCCCTTGGTTCTCACGATGTTTTCTGAACATTACAGGGTATCCCTTTTCGTGGGAACCAGAACATAAAAAAAATCCTACCGTTTGATTATACTGAGTGGAGTCGATGTCCTGCTCTTTCGCGTGGCGATCTTACCGTTTGGTTATGATAAAAGGGGTCGATGTCCTCGAGTGGTGTGCTGGAAAGTTCCGGAGGGAAGCTGCCCTGCAGTCGTACCGGAATCGGCACACCCTGCTCGAGAGTCGCATCCGGTTGGGGGCCTTCATCTTCGTCCTCGTCCTCATACCGAATCTGTGGTGAAGCAGGTATTGATCAATATTCGTTCGCGTTTTGTTGTACCGATGAGTTATCTTTATTTGCAGAAGTACTGCTCACCACAGAGATAGTTCTACCAGACAGCACCCGATGTTTTTTTAATATTCATTGAAAATTCTCTAGAAAATATTCTAGGAATATATGAATATTCATGGAATGATCCTTTCGGAATATTCTTGAACAAGCCAGAAATTAACAGATCTTCGATGGAATATTCCTTGAATGTGCTGGTGTGAATATCTCGTTTGTATACAGAATATACCAGTGGCGTAATTAAGGGGGGGTCCATGGGGTCTGGACCTCCCCCAGAGCTGTCTGAAAAACGGAAACAATCTGGTAAATAATTCTAATAATGGAAAAATAGACATGAGTATAGGAAATATCACGAAAAATTGATTTGTTATTTGTTAGAACCTCCGGACGAATATCAGAGGTTAGTTATTGTCATTGAAAATAAGATTTTTTTTATATAAACATGTGCCTTAAAATGCACTCCCTTCTTGCTACAACCACTGTAAAGTTAGGTTTGGACCTAGACACCCCCAGGGATGGATCTTAATTACGCCACTGGAATACACCAATGATATTCCAGAGATATTACAGGAATATAAATGAACGATTGTTCGTGAGATATTCCATTGAACATATTATCATTCTTGAAAAAATAGCTGTCTCAAGATGGACTCGAATCTGTGACATTCGCGGATTATTAGAGTAACGTTTTTACCACTCTGAAATAGTTATCGAATAAAAAATACTATAGGTAGGTACATAACAATTCCTTGAGAGATAGTAGATCAGAATAAGATTGGCTCCTGTCTTTCTCTGTAAAGTAGGAGCAAGTTGAAAGTCCATACAAAAAGTAACTCAAAATTGATTAGAAAACAATGTCCATTCCACAAGATAGCTTGGGTTTGTAACTGCTGTTTTTCGACGAAAACGAAATGAGGTACCTAGATACTCGAGAGTTTTAAGTCACCTGAAAGGCATCTCTGTTTAGTTCTTCTATGGTCATTTGACATTTCAATTCATAAATTTGTGTAAATGGACGTGGACATGAGTTGGATACCGATTCCAAGTATATTCTCAGTTCTTGATGAAATTGTTTATCTTTTTGTTGGCTCACACAGTACTTCTGCAAATATGTCGAATAATGGAAGACACACGTAATTCTTCAACAGAAACATTTTGAAGTAGTTGTGGAAGTGTAAGCTTCGTATATAAGTATCTCGAGGGTATTTGTTTGATAGAGATAGGCTTGTTTAGAGTCAATATTTGTGTCAATGTTGAAAGCAGTTTGATACATCTCCAACAATTCTGTAACGATCAATTAAAATTAATGCTCGTTTTGAAAATCCATCTGAAGATGCTTTCAAATGTCTACTTGATATCACATGCATTGTGTACTAAACTGATGTTTTGTTTGTGATAAATAACTGTGTTTTTGATAGATGTGGAAGGGTGACCAAATAACACACAAGTGATCACTACTACATATAACATTTCTGCACTTTTTGTTTATTGTAGCTAAGTAGTTTTGTTTTTTGCTGAATCTCTCTTTTCTTCAGATTATCAAGTTCAGAGCAGCATAGTTTAATACGTTGAGAAAAAAATTAATCTAAATGCTAGAGAGTTAATACTAGAAACAGTATGAAGTACCTACTTATAAGGCTAGTTTGGCATCAGCGCGATACTTGGAAATATTTATCATTAGAAATATCGAATTAAATGAAACTATATTTTAGGAAACCGTTTGTCATATTCCATTCCATTCTAGTTGAATTCGGACCAAACATAGGAATTTATTCATTCATCGTCTGTAGAATTGTCTTTTTAGGAAGGTATTCACTTGAAATTTATTGGAGAATGCATCGTACAGTCAAGATATCACAATGTTCCGATAACCAGTGTCATATTTAGTGTAGGTATTAACTGAATTGTGGTAGTTGGTGGTCAACTAGAAGCGTTCATTTAAAATCCATAACTTCTAACATTGATAGCTATTCTAAATCTACTCTCCAAAAATTTTGGAACGAACGAATACATATATCACGCATTTACCAACATGAGGGTATGAATGGGTCACGATATCAATCAGCACCCCCCACTACTGCAACCTCCCCCTAGTTTACATTTCGACCCCTGGAGAATTGTAAGACGCAGACTGTGTCATACAAAATATTATTTCTCAAACCTATTTCATTTTGGACAATCTGATAGGTATCCTTGGCATTTTATGAATTTTTTGATATGTTTTCAAAATGTTACCTACTGAAAATGAGTCTGTATGACAATTCCATCCTTTACAAAGATTGTCTGGATCTCATCAGGTACGGTATTTAGACCAACAAGTCAATGAATATCAATCATCAATGAATATATGATGTAGAATTCAGATTGACTATACGGGTGTAATTTAATTATTGATGACTGAAAATATAGGATGTATCGTTCCTCAGCTAATTTTAAGATGAAAAGTTCATATGAACATATGCCCTGACCCTCTACTTCCGAGCTATAGGGTATTAGCATTTCAAGAAAAATTTCGTGCATGTTCTTATCATAACGTCAATACTGTTCTGGATATTTTCATGAAATTTTACATTCACCTACTAAGCACCAATAGGCATTTTTTGATGCAGGATTCAATACTTCTAAGATTCGCCTCCGTATGGGATGTACAATGAAGATTTCTAAAAAAATATGGTACTCCCTTATTTTTTCCATAAATGAAAATGATTTTTGAAATCCTCATTTATTTTGTGAAAATTTGACTCCTACAATTTTATCAGTCCGACGTACCGTTTTCTCGTAAAAAATAAAATCCATTTTGGCTATTCAATCTTTTGACTTTACTTGAATAAACATTAGACAAAAACACATCTTACATACAAACTACCACATGGTGCTCAGTAGGTGTATGTCAAATTTCATGAAAATATCTAGAACAGTATTGGAGTTATAATGAGAAAACTAATTTTTTCTTAAAATTTTAACGCTATAGCTATATAGAGAAAGTTAAGAGGTTTAGTGCATATTTGTTCATTTGAACTTTTTTATTAAAATGAGCTAAGAAACTGTATCCTATATTTTCAGCCATCAATTAAATCACACCCTGTATAAGTATTTTGAACCATGAACAAGATTATGTTAAGTATACTTTCAATTCCCTACTGATATTCTGGGGGTTGCTGTTGTTACCTACCCTCTCATTTATACTCTACAACTAAAATACGATATACCTATCACCTCTATATACTTGAGAAAACTCCTACTTATTTTGTTCTCAGAAATACCTACGTTATTAGAACTCAACATTCATGAACTGGCGTCAAAAACAAGACCAAGACACTATCTTCCAATAACCAATAATATTTTCAACAAGGCCTATCTTTTTTGTCTGCCCAAGTTACTGATGCTCTTCATTTATGTCTGATCAATTTTTTCGAGTCATCAGTAACTTCATTGATATGAATAGCCTTGCTGAAAAAAACGAAAATGCAGAGAACAGGAAAGCCATTGTCATAGAATATAGTGATTAATAGCAATTTATAAGAGAGTTGAAATAAAGTCCACAGACTTTTATTCGCGTGTTAGTATTGTGAAGAGAAAAAGTAGGTAAGTAGGTAGGTTGGTAAATGTATTCTCCAGCCATTGAATTTGGTAGTATAAAATTATCTTTTCCATCTCTGCATCACAGACTTGATTTAACATTTTCATAAAGCATGTCGATCTTATCATAAATTGCCCATAGCAAGTCGAGTAATTTTTTAAATTTTATTTTACATTAGCTGGACTGTGAAAATGTGAAAATGCAATTTGCTACTACCAGATTGTGTGCTTTAATCCTCAATATTTTACCATTGAATTTATAACACTGAATTTTGTCATTGGTCTCACTAATAAATAGATTCAGATATACCTGATGGATCAAGAGGACATGTTATTTAGAAAGTATCGTAAAGTTTTGGATCATTCCTTTGATAATTGAGCAATGCAAAGCCTATAAGTGAAAAAATGGTGGTTATTTCATTATAGAGGGTGTAAAGCAATGCTTCATTCAAAACGCAGTTAACGGTCTAATCAAGCAGTAACAAAGCATTTAGAATATGCTACTGACGATATAGAAAAGGGGGAAGGAAGAAACGCAAGAAAATAGATATATTATAGTATATTCTGTTTTTTGCCATCTCCAGCTATATGGCTTCTCCAGTGATAATTTTGTCAAATCGTCAGAGGCATTAAGTCAGCTAAAAAAGCAACTCTGGTTTGAGCATTTTTATTGGAGAAATCTTACTTCTTTTTTCTTTTTCCTGCGTCCGAAACCGGTCTGCAAGAAAGGTTCATTTGTTTTAAACATCGATAAGCAAACATCGCTTCACTTCAACTATACTACGTCACATTTCATCAGTGGAATTTTGTTACATCCAACCACCTGGTACACCAGCCTAGAGTCTAGGTCAAATTAACCAAGAACCAAAACACTGACTTTGAAAAAAAAACACAAAAAGTAATGCTCTGAGAAAAACATATCCATAATGAAATTTCACGTAAACAGTGTGTCCGTGGAGTCACCCCGCAACTAATCTCTTGACTCACCGAGTATTATTTCAACAATTTCATTTGTTTCTATAAAATGTTGAAAATAACCTACTTCTTGACGCAAATTATATTTCGATATAGGTTATTATCTATTCACTCCTAGGAGATAAATAGAAAATAGGGACCCAGAACAAAATGGCGAATATTATTGTAGAATTTCTACACCTTGATTTTTTCGAATTATACGAGATTAATGATCAAACATCTTCATATGAAAATTGTCTTTTGATCAGATGGACTATGGACATTTTATGATCATACAATCTTTAGCCCAGGTTGAAAATATGGATTTATATTATTTTGATAGTATGTATACTTCGGATTTTAATCTTCGAACTACTTCATTATAGAGGAAAATGTTCAACAACTCCTGCTTTCCACATCAAAATATGACTTCTTCTCCCTCCTTTAACCATGCAGATGTACTACGATCACTGTTTTTTATGCCATACCAATCCGACTGCTTGAATAATGAATTTTCTTGGATTTGCTAGTCGAAAATGAGGAAATATTTTATACCAGAGGGTTTTTTAATTATCAATAGCCGTATAATTCATGAGAATTAGGGTATATGAATTCCACTATAATAAGGGTCGCCGCATGTTGTCGTGGGTGATTGTTGAATAAAAATTATGCCAACATGGCGCCCTGTCGTCATTTTGAAAGATAGAGAATTCCAGTTAATGGCAAAATATACGCACAGAAAACGACCAGTGCTGTTACTTCTAAATCATTCGAGATCGGTTTTTGAAATTTGATGGGTGGCAAGTACAAAATTGCTCAATAATATGATCCATGTTTTTTGTATGGATATTTAATTACAACTTTATATTTGTAACTTGGGTTTTCATATTTGAATAAAGATTATTATTATTATCAATTAATATTGACAAAACAGATTGTTTTATCACCTCCGGTTTAACCGTAATCAACTCCAAATAAATGTATATTTTTTCATGTTTGGATTCATGGGTTCGTTTTACACACACACACCCTTACACAAATATACAGTATTTTCTATTTGGGGTTGCGAGTTGGGGTTGTGTCCGTTTGAACTAAAAGTTATCGAATAAGTACATATTTTTTGTCAATAAATGAGCAATTTGGTATACTTGCTACCCATAGGTACCAAAATCCGACCTTGAAAGATTCAGAAATCACAGACCTGACGGTTTTTGTGCTGTTCTCTGTATAGTTAATGTTATTAAATTTCCATTCAGGCAAAAAATACTTTTGAAAAAATATTCAATTACTTAGTCAAGAGTTAAGACCTAGGGTGGATCCAGGATTTTTCTGAAAAGGGGCGATTCCAAAATAATACAAGTCATAATTTTCAAAAAAATATGTTAATATAGAAACTAAATAGTGAAACATACTCATATATACAGGGTGTTTCACAGGTAAAGGAAAATATTTCAATGGTAGATAGGGGTCACCAAGGTGGTTCTGAAAATACCATATTTGATAGGTCTTAGAGTCCTCATAACGGAGATACAGGGCGATTTATCGATTTCGAATAATTATTCATTCGTCTATATGTATTGACCTACCCAGTATATTTTTCTCAAATGTGGTAAGGAGCTTATACTTGGGACGTTAAATTCATTCACCTATCGGGCGGAGTGAAAATCCAGGTTCGGCTTCAGGAAAATTTTACATTTATTCGAAATATTAAAATAACACAGTGTATTTAATAATTAACACAATACATCAAAAGAATTGTGAAGAGGAGGAAAAACTGAATTGGGTTTGATGCTTTTTGTTTTCCCGCCACAAATTCTCATCGTAACAATCATAAACAGAAGTCAAAAAATCGCTCGAACGAACTTACTAAGTCTCACAGTCTTTATAACGGAGGTACAGGGTGAATTATCGGTTTTGAATAATTATTCACTCGTCCATGAGTATCAAACTACCCAGTAACATTTTCTCAAATTTGGTATGTAGCTTACTTGGGACGGTGGATCCATTAACCTATCAGGCGGAATGGAAATAATACCAAATAATTATAATTCGATAATTCACCCTGTATCTCTGTTATAAAGACTATGAGACTTGTCCTGAAGCTGAACCTGTATTTTCAATCTGTCTGATAGGTCCAAGTAAGCTCAATACCAAATTTAAGAAAATATTACTGCGATGCGGGTAGTTTAATACTTATGGACGAGTGAATAATTATTCGAAATCGATAATTCACCTTGTATCTCTGTTATAAAGACTGTGAGACTTAGTAAGTTCTTTCGAACGATCATTTAACAAGAATATATCAAATAATCATAATTGAAAATGGTTTCATAATTTTAATAGGTACATACTCTTCAAATTGACATACTTTTAGCTTTCTGTTTATGATTGTTACGATGAGAATTGGTGGCGGGAAAACAAAAAGCATCAAATCCAGTTCAGTTTTTCCTCCTCTTCACGATTCCTTCGGTGAACTCTGTCAGTTATTACATACAGTGTGTTATTTTAATATTTCGAATAAATGTAAATTTTTCCTGAAGCCGAACCTGGATTTTCACTTCACCCGATAGGTGAATGAATTCAACGTCCCAAGTATACAATACCAAATTTTAGAAAAATATACTGGGTAGTTCATACTTATAGAAGAATGAATAATTATTCGAAATCGATAAATCGCCCTGTATCTCCATTATGAAGACTCTAAGACCTATCAAATATGGTATTTTCAGAACCACCTTGATGGTGACCCCTATGTACCATTATAATAAATCCCTTCATCTGTGAAACACCCTGTATTGCAACCAGGGGGAGGGGGCGAAACCTCATTATCCCCCTCCTCATATCCACCACTGGACAGAGGACTTTATGGACAGGATGTACTCTATGAGATATGTTCACAGGTTCTCGAAATGTTTTAACTGGAAAACGAAAAGACTCAAATGGATAAATCGTATGATGCAAATCTCAAGTGGAATGAAGAGGCGGAATTCCGAATCTAAACCTTTTTCTCAGACAATGCTCAAGAAAATGGAAATGCGGGGTGAGAGAATATCAAAATCTCTTGGCGTGACAAAGATCCACTGATCAGAACAAAACAACTAAGAGAGAGTTTTGTTATGTTTATGACAGGATGATGTTGGTATTCATTCTGATTCTGATGTGAATGAAATAAAATGACAACAAAAAAAAATGTCGCGAGTCATTGAAATATACGAGAAGCGCCACAGCTTTGCTTTTTTTCATTGAATCACCGCCAATTCAGGGTTACTATAGCCTTTCAAAGTACAATTGGTATTGTGTGGTACGTCTGAAATTGACAACTTACGAATATACAGATAAAGTACACAGACATGCAAATTTCCAGGCACAGATTAACATTATGTAAAGGGCGATTGTTTTAATTGCTGCACCAGATTTTCTCAGTCATTTGGAGCTAGAGAAAAAATGAATATGAAATAACTATGACCTGAACAAATTGATCATGCACTATAGAAATGAGTAATCAATAATTGTTTTCATATCTCATTTCTGCTAAATGTTGACCAATATATCAGCTGAAAGTTATGTTCCTATAGTGGATGTTTTTTTTGTATTTCATTGATGTATACCATCAACAGTGAGTGCTTTAAAAACTGATATCATTTTTAATGTAATCAGAAATGGAATTACATTACAAAAACTATAAAAGTCTCATGCGTTTCACGTTCGGAGGTTTGTCCTATATTGAATTCTGAGAATCAATGAGTAAAATATCTATATATGTGTAATTCTTTTCTGATGACCGTTTCTGATTCATTATCATTGAAGTTATATTTCAAACTAATTCCTCAACCCCCAGAGGATCTTGAGAAAACGGAGACTGCGCAATTGAAAACAATACCCTGTACCTACTAGAAAAAATGTCATACAAAAAATATATACACGTATATAGGCAGTATAGCTCATAAGAGAAGATATCTAATATACCACATCTGTTACTCCGGAAGAGGATGTTTCATAATCAAATTGTTGTTCTTCGAGAGAAAACATCAGATGAAATAAATAGGCATATGGTGTTAATGGTATGCAATGGTTGGAAACTACACTGAAATTTCCTAAAGTCTAGTAAAACAGCAGACGAACCTATATCCATCTTGTTGTGAACAGATTTTCATAATCTGTATAACTGTTGCGTTCGTGTGGAGTCAGTAACAAAGCCCACACAGAACACACAAGGACTGACCTCTCGTGAACTTGATGGCCATCAGTTGGTGTATACACACACCAACAAAATACATTATAACGGGTGTCAACGTATTTATTAGGCAAGCCATAGTTTCCAAAGTTCTGAAGGTATGACATTCAAACTTGGCATGGGTTTGGATTCAAGAATTCGAATTTTTCAATGTCAAAGTCATTGAGCATGAAAATTTCGAACGGGAATATCTTCGTAGACGTTTGAAATAACTCTATTAAACATGGTATCGTTGAACTCGTTATGATAATCCCTTACCGATTATGGAATAATATACAGGGTGTCCTATACCCCTGCCAAATTGGCTTCTCATACCCTCGGAAACCATGACTTGTCCAGAAGATTCATTGGCACCCGGTATAAATATAAAAAATCAATTGAGTACCTACCTGTTAAGTTATTGAAACGACAGACGAAATTCAAGTGCACCCCACCCTGTAGATAAACATAAACTTCCAGCTCTTCATCTTGAGTTATCCGGCTAATATGATATCAAAAATTGCCATGACATGATGTTTCATTAAAAGCCCTCGAAAAGACAACACAAAGCTTTTTATTCTTCAAACAATGGCCGAAGTTGTTTCGCATGTACTCAAAACGTGTGGTTGATGGGACGTCCACTCAAAGATTTTGTATTTCCTTTGATGAAGCTAACCACAACGGAAAAATACAGCAATACACAGTACATTATTTTCTATTCAGAACTTTTAAATCACCCTGAAAAAGTGCCGCAGGCATTTGTGGACCTTTTTATGTTGTGCTATCTCAGATTTCGCAGGGAATTTGCTCGGATGCTTGTCATATAATAAGAAGAAAATACCATTGAGCGTTTGGCTGGAGGGTATTTTCAGCTCTCATCCACAGAGTGTTCCATAATAAGCATAAAATAATTTAACAGCATAGAGCTATGAAGTTATTTCCATTGGTAAAATTCTCCACTAGACACTACTTCAGTGCCAATAGAAAATTAATTTGGAAGCTATTGTTGCCTCTGTTGCTTTATAAAATCAGATATTCAATAGAATTGAATACTATTTCAATCAATTCAGTCGATTTCACAAACCTTCTCCTCAAGTTAAGCTTTGATTTGTAGCATATTTTGGAGTTTCATTCTTGAATTGATTGTCAGCTGGCTGTCTTATTGAGATACAGCGAACTGTCTTATTACTTTATTATGTATATTACAATGCAATGAAAAATTATTTTATATTTCAATGCGACTACAGTATAAAAGATTCAAAACTGTTGATTTCATTGTTACACGCACCTATATCCTACTCATACACTCAGCTACTTTCGAGGACACTTTGCATTTTTGATTATTTGGAGGCTACTTTCTTCTGGTATTTTCTCATACCTTGGAAGCCACACCTGATGTCACTACGACTTTATAGTCATTGTACGTAAATTTTCTCAACCTACTATATTGTAAAGTTGATTGGCGTCTCTTCGAATATAAATTTGTCATACATCTAAACACCATTATTCAACCTCGACAATATCTTGAAGAAATCTGCTTATAGTTAGAAATAATAATCCCTTTTTTCCACCACTAGCTATAGAACTACTCCTTTTGAAAGTGTGTTCTCACTAAATAATAATCCCTTTTTTCCACCACCAGCTATAGAACTACTCCTTTTGAAAGTGTGTTCTCACTACCAAGGTAGTTTTTGTCATTTTATGAACCACTAGACAATTGAGACATGGCCACCTCTGTTAAAATCAACCCGAATTCACCATTCTGATGCGATATTCACAGGAATGGCACTCGAATCTAATATAGATATTTATAAAAAACGACTTGTCGTATGCTCTCATAGTGACTAGATTTTAATCAGAATTGAGAATGAGTGCTTTCATAGTGATATAGGTCCACATTTCAGTTTCACAGAACTATAATGATTGAAATATATTGCTAGTGGTGAGTAAGTTGGTAGTAAATAATATAATTACCACGGTGTACTACCATGGTGTATAAATAACTATTTCCTGTGACTGAGTGCAATGTTTACCATTTGTTTAATGAAACATGAAATATTCAACTCGTTCGACCAAAGGAATGAAAATATCGCATTCAGTGCACACTATAGTTTTACCAATGGAAATTGTTATCAGAGTCACTTGAAAGGTCAATTAGAACAACAAGATGTTGATGACATATGTTGATGGATTACTATAAGAACTAAAAGGCCGCTGTCCCTTGAGAAAGCACTTCCACATATCGATATACTTACGAGAAATTTCAGTGTATTTTCCTCGGCATAAGAATTTGAGAAATAAGAACGTAATATCGAGAGGTGAAGAAGAATTCATGAAATAATCGAATTTGAGTCTAGTATCTTCAAGAAGAATACCTCTCCTTCAGCTCTTTTCTTTTCGAGTTCCTTCTGCTTGGCATGTTCTTCTGCAATTCTGGCCTCGATAGCTGCAAGTGATTCACGTGTGAATGGACGGAATAGGCTGCGCTCCTCCTCAGAGAATGAGTCAGAGGCGACGGACATGTCTTCTCACGCCTAGGCCCCCACGATACCCTGAAAAAAAAACTCAGCCGTTTAGAGCTCGGTACAGACTAGTGTTGACTAAACATCGTTTGTTTTGCCTATCGATAGTTTCCGATAGTGTGTAAAAGAATAATCGATGTATCGATAGTCACTATCGATAGTTTTATCGAAGGAAATGTGGGGTTAAAAAACCTACACTTTTGGCACGATATGAATACAATTCCGTCTAATTTGTTGGTTATAAAATGAAATTGGGGGGGAATTAGGTGAACAAATGACTTGTGACAAAAATAAAGAATGACGGATGGCGTATGTCGCATGGATTGCGCATGCTCAGCCAACTCTTCTACTTCTCTTTTTCAAGTTTGAGCTCAGTATCACTTATATCCGAATAAATCTATGTTGAGGGTTCCACATCGGCATATCTTCCATAGGTCTACAAAAATTCTGCGGATTCTAAGAATAATCACAGTTTCCAATTACATCTACTTCAGTTCCACGCTATCGATACTATCGCTACACACTATCAATAGTTTTCGATAGGCAGAACTATCGGATATATCGATAGGTTGCAATCGATGTTTAGTCAACACTACTACAGACTGGTTTGGGATAAGAATCTATCAATTATTTGGACTTGTTTGATCCTGTTGGATTTCTCTAAGGCATTCGACGCCATTGATCTTGAAATACTTTTGTCAACACTTCACTATGTCGGGTTTTCGATGGCAGGTGTCGAGTGGATCAGATATTATCTAGCAGACGGTCGCAAGTCGTGTCTCTTGTTAATGACAATGGCTGTGTGCCCTCAACATGGCAGTACATCTCAAACGGTGTACCCCAAGGTTCTATATTGGGACCCATATTATTTTCTATTTATGTTTCTTATATGGACAGGGATCTACAGTACGGTAAATTACACCAATACGCCGATGACTCGCAATTGTATTTGAGATTAAAACCTGATAATTACATAACAGCAATTCAAAGAATCAATTCTGACCTATTAGCAATCGAATGTTTCTCAAAAAATCATAGTCCCATCATAATTCCTATTAAATCTCAAGCATTGATATTTGCATCACGTGGTAATCGTAATAAAATGAAGAACTTCGTGGTGAGCATGAATCTTTTACAGACTGCAGCAAAAATCTTGCGGTACAGATAGATTCTGAATTGAACTTCGAAAAGCACATAGCAGCTAAGCGTAAAATTGCTTATACAGATTAAAAACATTGTTTCCATTCAAAGATAGCATGAAGTTCCAAACTAAATATCGTCTGTGTAATTCACTTATTCTATCTTTTTTTGACTATGCAGACGTGGTTTATCATTCATTAATCACCCAAGAAGTTGCAAAGCGTATGCAATAAGTTCAAAATGCTTGTATGCGAAACTACTTTCTGTTGAATAAACCGAGAGAACATTGATATTTTTATCACATAGAGAATGCGAATTCTCTATGTTTCTCTTCATATATATCAATTTTTTCAGTTTCATAATTTATCTTAGAATATTCCTTTTCAATACTTCCACCCAATCAAGGGGTTCAAACTTGAACGATGGAAACTATAGACCTTCAATCGCAGATTCGTGATAAGGTTTTCTCAATTCAGAATGTCTTTCCACGTCCTGTATGATCAATATTTGTCATACATCAATCAAGAAATTAATAAATAGAAAAAAATTATTTATTTGTTGTTTTTTGTCATAAAAACGTTTGTGGATGCACTATTTGTTCTATTTTCCTCAGTTCATCGTGAATATTCAACAATCTATTGAAACGATCTTCAACATGAGGTACCGCAACACCCCTATCATCCCTATTAAAAATCTGGGGATTGTGCTTCCCCCTTGTAGGTTGAAGTTATGGAGATGAAGAAAGCAGACAAGTCTACTTCCCTCGAATAGGATATTGCGTTTTCCCGGCTTTTAATTTTGAAACTCTAAAATGGAATAAAAACAAATTTGAGTGGAGATCAAAACTTCGTAGAGGAGTAAAATATTCAACATTTCAACTAATGAAAAAAAATCGAAATACTTATATATTGAAATTAACGATATGAGTGTATTACTATTTTGGATACAGTAAGAGTTGGACTGGAACTAAGTCAAAAACATAAAAACTGAAAAAAAATTAGAATCTATGTTCATTGTGGTGATAAATTACCTGCAAGCCTGCAAGCCCAATGGCCGATATGGAAAAGGAGGGGTTATAAGACGAATCGTATGATACAGTGCCGTCTCTGAGACGTATGATTAGAAGTTAAGAGTTGTATAATCAGGAAATATCATCAAGATGTCGAATTTAAAAATGCCCAACAGTTGATAATAGGTTCTACGAAAATCCAAAGGAAACAGTAGTTGCGTTTTATTTATCCGATTAGGAACCGGAATCATAATCACTCGTCTCTCCGGATGTATCTATCCATAGAAGTACTTGTTGCAAGGCACAGCCGTGTCTCTGGATGTGAAAAGTAATTCGAAGTAATAAGAACGAACATTTGAAATTCAAGTATTAAAACATTCGAAATTTTGGTGGCGAAACAGCATCCACCATTTTATTCGAGAAAAAAAAAACTGATCCTGATGATCCTGATCAAGATAATGTAACGAAACTATCAAATTATTCTATTTTCATCGGTCCTTGATGACTGTGCGACTTAATTCGACATTTTTGAGTGGGAGTATCAGGTGTAGATCATGTTTTTTTACAGTTGCCTTCAAGTCAGTTTGTATAGGTACATACATCCAACTAAGACAACGCCTGTAACGTTTAATCCAAATGAGTATTTTGTCAATTAGACATCAGTCAAATTATCAACTGTGATACATCGTCGAAGTGAGAATTGATTGCACTTCATAAATCAACGAAAAAATGTATTTGGTGTAACTTGGATAATTGAAGTTAGGGGTGGATTTTCAGGGATAGTTTGACAGAAGTGAACTTTGACACAATGACTTCAAAGTCATTTGGGTTCGACAAAAGTGCAATTCTTTGTTTTTTCTCTGAGCAACGCATAACTGAGGTTGTATGAAAAGATCTGGGACACCCGGTAAAGTCATTCATTTGAACTGAATTATTTAGGGCTGAGGCAAATGGAGCATGAGAGATAAGAAGAAAATCCAATTTCGTGTTGTCAATCACATGGCAAAACTTCAAAGCCAGTATGAAAAATGGCCAATTAATTTTGGGTGAACAGTTCATTGATGTCATCTATATAGCCATATAAATGATGAATCAGTTTTTAAAAACGATAAGGTAGCGAATTAGGTATTTTAGTATAGCATAGATAGTATAGTGACCAGTTTTCTCTATTGGCCAAGGCAGGATGAATAATCTTTTTAATGAAGTGAAATTTAAAAGCTACTTCTGAGTGAGACTTTTTCAAATATCTTGAAGTGCACGAATGGGAATCCCTATTATTTTCGAGGAATATTGTGCGTACCTACGAAGAATAGGGAGAGATGGTAACTATATCGGGCAGTTTTTCGAACTTTTGGAGATCATAATTTATTGGAATACTTCTATGGCAAAGGATTCCATAGCTTTGCCGTATAACTAGAAGAGTTTTGGTGGAGAGTTGTTCGACATACCCGACGTTGACGACGAAGGGATGTGCTGACTGAGCATGTTGAGTACGTCTAACTGGTTGTGCTAGTGATGGAATGATATCAGAGATTTCAGAAGAACATTTCCCGAAGAAGGATTGATAGAAAAATTAGAGGTTGTCGACTTTCCTACGGTGTTCCAATGATTTGAAGGATATAGGGAGCGTGGCATCAACAATCAGGCAAAATGGCTCACCTCTGGAAGGAATCTAAGAGCGCTGAAATATGTGTGGCTGCTGAACCCCATATGTGGGAACAGTATTCTAGAACATGCCGTATCCGTGCTTTGTCGATCATAAGGAGCTGTTGAGCTGTAAAGTAGCAATTCGCTCGGAATGAAATTACGAGTTTTTGTGAAGCAGCTTTCGCAATGGATCTAACATGATTTTTCCATGAAAGAGTATAAATACGGGCTTTAGTTTTGTAGGCGTTGAATTGAATTAGGTTGCTTGTTTCCCAGGCTGTAATTTCAGCAAGATCTTCATTGGCAGCGTTGACCTACCTTCGTTTTGAGTTCGTATAGTTTCCTGGGAAGAAATGGGGATTCTGGAAGTAAACGCGGTATGGAGAAAAACAAAAATGCCACTTTTGATATGCAGCTATTCCTCATTTTTACTGTCTTCAAAGTTCGATTCACATTCATAGGGCGGTTTAGGGTTTAGTAAATCGAAGGGTTCACGTATTTGTGTGTGTTAATCGTTGACATGGAAAATGAGTAGGTATAATAAAACGCAGAGCTCCTATATTATTGCAAGAGCTAGTAAGAAAAAACGTATATTTTGATAATAAACGAAGCGAAAAAGATTCCATTCCGCTCTCGAATTCGTTGAGAACGTCAACAAGAGATTTCATCTGAATGCTAATTTACAATCCAATAATAATACAAACTGGGAGCCATTGTGGAGTGGATAGTAACTTATTTGTTGAACACTTCGTTTTATTTGCTTCACTTGACTTCTTCATTAGGTGTGCCGAAGTTGTATCAAGATATGGAAGACTGTTCAGACTTCAGCGGTATACAACAGTGTGTTGATTCTTTTCATGTTGTTTTCCACTTTTCTCTATCCTATAATGAGAGTTGGATATTGGATATCAAAGTCAATGGAGAGTCAAATATGCTACAGAATATCCTCAAAAGGCAATAGCGTTCACATGTCAGGTGATTTCGTTATCGTGATTCGTAAAATCACGAGTCCTTTAGTACAGTGATTTCATCTGAATTCGATTTGTTTGAATAGTTTTGCCTCAAATGAAAAAGTTTTAAGTGATGAAAATGAAAACTCATGATGAAATTTGAAGAACGGGAGTATTATTTGTGTAATTAATTTAGAATGACGATTAAAAAGGTTACATATGTATACGTTTGGTTTTCTAGGAGAATTTATAATTGATTTTATTGTTACTTACACAGATAGGTT